CACACACTAACACACCACCACCATGTCAGTGTTACTGCAGTGCTGAGAATGATCCACCACCCAATTAAGGCTGGTCCTGAGGGGGTCCTGACCATTGAAGAACAGGGTAAACGAGAAATGGATGGACTACAGTCTGTAACTGTAGAATTAGTGCTCCTATATGATATAAAGAGGTTTACTTCATGAAGTAGCCTGTTGTTTTATTATTGACATTATCGTTAATGTTGATTAGTTGTTGCAATCCTAGTATATGGTATGATAATTTTCCATAACTAAAGATTTTAAAGATATTACACTTCAACAACATGTTAGGGTCACAATTTATTTATATTTTAAAATAAAACAATGTTACTTTAACAGTTACACCTTCCTGAGCCGTCAATTCACCAATATTGGTTTTTAAATCAATTATATAGAATTCCAAGCACCACAGAAGAGCTCGTCCCCACAGTCGTGTGTGAAGGCTGAGGCCATATTTTGAAGAAAAAAAAACACATTGTTCTGCAATTTTAACTACAGTAATCTATACATGAAGAAAACAAATGGCAAATAAATATTATAAAATATATAATGAAAGTTGTTGTCCCCAGGAGTCGTGTCACTGGTGTTACTGCGTAACAAAAAACCTCTTATTCTGAAATAAAAATCACTGATGACATCACTCGACTTCCTTTTACCTGTTTTCTGAGGATCTATGAAGAAAAGCACATGGTGAGTCCACTGTGTCTTTCAGTTATCAGAGATTTTCTCATTTAGCTCATGATTTCATATGAAGCTTTTAGCTGAAGTCACTGGTGTGACCGACTTTATTCTGAAGTAATTGTGAAAAAATAGAATAAAAATGGTTTAAATGACATATTTTAGTGGATATTTCATGATTGACAACATGTGGTTTGATGCTCTGTAGCAGCCGTTTTGTAAAATGCATGTTTCATTAAAAATGTCTCTGGTGTTCCTTTATTATGTGTAACACCAATGAGGATCAGTAACACCAGTGACTCCTATGGAGAGAGAGAAAAGTGGACCGTTATTGTAGAATGACACTGTGATTTCTAGTGCACATTGACTTTAAAGTGACTCCAAAATGTAAATATGTAATTTCATTTTAATGTAATAAAAGCTACAACAGTTCTAAATCATAATCAGCGTTTAACCTCTTATTCTCCAGGGTATGTTTTGGGTTTTCCATCTGAATTTACATGCCCAAATCGTACGGCAAATTATTCAGTAACTGCATGAAATGAATGTAAAGGGTTTTTTTTTGTAAAAAATCCCCTCAAATTAACAAAAAATGTGTTTTATGATCATAAACATAATGCCATATGCTTACAGTTTACTGCTGAAAGCCGAAAATCTTAGACGCTCTTTGTATTTGTTTATAAAAATAATTTTTACAGAGCAGATCACTGAAGAGACGCCATCTGAGATCCAGTTCATAGCTCAGATTTGTGGAAAATGGGTCGACTTTCAGTTTGTAAGTTCAGCTTCTTTTATTATAAGGGTTTAAAATTACATCACCCATCTATTTGACTGGAAAGAAGACAGTTACAGCTCTCATACGACCCCCACCTTTAGAATGTAGCTTATAAAATATGAAAGTTATGAAATAAAGAATAAGATAAAGTGTGTTTTGGAACCACCGGTGGTTCCACAGAGTTAAAATGGTTAAAGTTTGCCACAATAAGAACCAAAAGACTCATCCAAACAGACACCACTCATAAACAGAGTTCTTTATTTCAGAAATTACAGTGTGAGATTCAGAACGGTAATGACGTTACTGAGTGACAGTTTCTGAAAAGCAGTGGGTTCTATTCCAACTACTAGACTAGCCTGCAGTATTTATCAATGTAGTGTATGTTCCTCAGTGAAGATTTAAGTTTCTAGCCAAAAAAAAAAAAAACAGCTTGGACACTATGGTGACCACTACTACCACAGTGGAACACCAAGCTTAACAAAAGAATCAAGTTTTTCCTACAGGATCAGTGACAAATACAGAAACGGTAATAAAATCGCAAAGTATACTTGTCGGAGAAGGATACACAATGAAAAAAAAAAACTAAAAGCTTTCTTTTTCTATAAAAATACACTATAATTTAAATAACATGACTTTAAATTAATCCTTGAAAATAACACTTCATTTTATTTGTCAGAATAGTTAATAGAGAATTTTTTTTCCCACCTAAATTATAAACATCTAAATATCATTTCCACCAAAAGGATCAAAGTAGAGAGTGAAACAAGTCCCTTGCTGTTATAAGTTCAATGCAGTGGGTCAAGCTTGCATCACAGATAAAGGCCCTGAGTCATTGATATCAGTCTAAAAGTGGGCAGACAACCCTACCTCGACAAATTTACTCAAAATATGGCAAGATATACATAAAAAAGATTTCGAAAAGCCAATTTTCAGAGTCATTTCTCAGCCAGTTTGGCGCTGAGACTTTAGAGAAAACCGTTTAACTGAAAAAACAAAAATATCTGAAGGTAAAAATCCACAGTGGACTTAAAATAAAACACCTAATCCAGAGACTAAACAGATTTAGTTCGAGACAAAACAGACTTCGTTTGTACCCTGGCTGAAATCTGTTGTGTGGTAAATGCTACTGAAGACTCCATACTGATACGAAACATTGTGTCATTCTTTGAGTGAATTCAGTTAAATTAAATTCAGTTTACTTAAGTAGACCAGTACATGATGATAGCCATAACAACTATGACAGTCGCATTAATACTTTCAGCTATATACAAGAATAATTTAATGTAAAATACAACAAAACCAGTGACAAAGGAATGTGTCCCAGGCTACAACTTCTCTTTTCAGTGATAAACCTCCTTTTTAACATTCTGAAACACTTTTAGCACATCAGGCCCTCAATGTCCTCGTTAATGAAGTAGATAATAATGCTAGGCCTCACTAGACTAAACTGCCCAGACCAGCATGAAGCCAGTGCTACACTACCCAAAAATAGAAGCATTTCTTTTAAAAATGACCATTTTTCTACACATGGATCCCTGTTTAAAGGGGAATTTCTGCATAATTCAGTAGTTGAGATTGTAAAACAATCAGTAAAACAGTCATTCATTCATTCTAGGAAACTTTCTGGTTTTGATTTCTTTACAGTGGCGGTGATAGGAACCCAGAATTGCAATGTTTACAGAACAAATACAGGGTAATTCAAAAAGATTAATCTGATTTCAAAGCGCCATACTTTTTCAACCGTGAGGCTCCTAGGAACCAATCACATACCAATTGTAAGAGGGGGTCATAGAGTTTCTGACTGTCAGTGGAAGATGGCTTCCCTTCAGTCTGAGAGGAGATGAGACCCCTGAGCAGAAAGCGGTCTGCGTTCTCCACTTCAATAAGAGTGAATCCGTCATAACTGTGCAGTGTGATTTTCGTGGGCAGTGAAGCTCCAACAGCTCAGAGCGTTCGTCGTTGGTTCCACAACACTGGATGATCTCCGAAATCGCACTGAAAGAGCCGTGAGTGCAGCGACACCCGACATGCTCAATCGAGTATGGGATGAATTTGACTATGGTGTTGATGTTGTCTGTACAGCTGGAGGAGATTCATACTGAGACCTTGTACAATTACATAATAAACCTTATGCTCAATTAAACCATTTACAGTTTACTGCACTGTTCTGTAATGATGAAATAAAGTGAAATAAATCATTTTAAAATCAGATGAATCTTTTTGAATCACCCTATATGGTCATTTAATTAACTAAAAAATGCTTTACTTGCCAATTTATTTGTCTAAAATGGCCAGTGAACCTACAAATGACTTGCTTTTTATATATCTAGTGAATCATTGTAAATTAGTGATAACAGTGGTTGGTATAGTGTAGTGGGTAACACTGCTGCCCTGTAGACTGGGGTTCAATCCCTGCCTGGGTAAGCACCCTACACTATACCAGTAAGAGTCATTGGGCAAGACTCCTAACACTACCTACTTGTGTAAAAAATGATCAAAGCATCTGCCAAATGCCGTAAACGTAAATAATAAAAATGTTTTTTTTGTGGACTGCTTTGCTTTACAACACCCCCCATCACGAATGGATTAAAGAAAGCAAAAAAAGACGTTTGATGCCAAAGCCTCGTCTCAAAACTATAAAACAGTGTCGGAGGCATGGTACGACATATTCATCACCATATTATGTAATAACTTTTGGTGAAGGAGCTGGTAAAGACATTAAACTCTTTAGACGTCTGGTTCCTATCACCACCACTGTGAACAATTCTGACTTTGTAGGACTTTGACTTTGTTTACATATTATTTAATTAAGCAGAAATGTTTAAACATTGGTGGAATGTGGAATTCCTCTATAGCCTTGGGTACACTGGCACGGCTTTAAATACATTAATAAAAGTCAAGGCCAAAAAAAAAAGGATAATAATCTTGAAACCTTGAGATTAGCCAGCATGATCTCATTATTATTATTATACTAACTGCGGTTCTGTTAGCACAGTCTCACTGGTATTGTGTTAACTGTCAATCAGCTTCCATTTATTGTTAGCACTGATGTTTGGGTCAGGTATTCTTTTAATACTTGGGTGCATATTGGTAGAGACACATGTGGCCCAAGTTTATAAAGCTACGTTCACATTACAAGCCTCGTTGCTCAAATCTGATTTTTTGCTCAAATCCGATCTCTCTGACACGATGGTTCACACTCGTTTAGGTAAGTGATTCAAATCTGTCATTAATGTGAACCGGCGTCCTGAAATGACCCTCATGAACACATCCTACTCAGTAACGTCACGTGAATGAATCACATTCATCATCAGCGCAAACTAACGAGCAGAACGAGCTTCGCTGAGAAGATGTGTTCGGCGCTGCTGCCATGGTAACGCTGAATCATGGCGCACGTGCAGTGGAAAAAAAGCACATGAATTCCGATCTGAGCGACTCATTAGAGTCGCATGGCCATGAATCGGATACGTATCTGATCTAGGACCACATATGAAAGTGGCTCAGGTCGGATTTGAAAAGATCAGATTTGTGTCCACACAGCTCTGAAAACATCAGATCTGAGTCACTTTAGGGCAAAAAATCGGATTTGTGCCACTTCAGCCTGGTAATGTGAACGTAGCACATGCTGTACTAAAACAAAAGCAGGGTTCCTTGATGATTTTGACAGCTTTTAAAACTGGTGGCAACAAAAAAGACACTCCACTACTTTTGGTCACCAACAAACTTATTTCTAATGTCAGTCTCTATACCCCAGCGCTCCTAGCCTCCCTTAGCTTAGCATGTCAGGGTCACCACTGACCATGGCTGCCACAGTTACTGACCTCCATATTCAGGACCTTCAGTTGTAATCACTGAAGCCTTATTCGATCTACTTAGTTCTGTCTGTTGATCTCTTAAGTTCTGTGATCTCACAAATGTGATGTGATTGTTCAGCACATAAACAGTGACGCATGAGTGTGTGGAGTATAAGGCCCAATTTACACCTGGCATTAACATACATCTTAGGGGTTCAGATAAGTGGACAGCACGGTGGTCTAATAATCCAGTGACAGTTCACTCGTGCATAAGGAAGAGGAAAGTCAAAGGAAAATAACTAAAAACGTTTCCAAAACTGGAGATCAGAAAATCACTAAAAGCTACAAAGAAAACGGGACACTTAACAACCACCTGCAACACCTGCTAGACGACAAATCTCAAATAAACAGTACTTATAGCTTTCGTCTTTGAGGGGGAGGAGAAAATTGAGCTTCCTTCTTTCTCACATCTGAAAAAATACAGGTGTTTCTGTCCATCCTTCCACCGTGAGAAGACGACTCAGCGCTATGGGTCTGAACGGATGTATAGCTGTCAAGAAGTTGTTACTCGGGAAAGAAAATCCACAAAAAGGACGAAAAATCTAACCATTTTTCTAAGAATTTAACAGAGTTGACATCACTGAATTGTTGCTGTCATTGTTTGGGATTCCTTGGACACAAATACAACCAACTTCTAAGAGCGAACTTTAGAGGTGTGCAAAATGTCCCAGCAGATTTCTTAGAAAAACTGAAAGGAAGTGACATTAAAAAATGAATAACTTAATGGTTATTTTTGACAAGCAGTTAAATCAATGTCAACATTTGTAGTGTGAATATTTGAGCGCTAAAGCACCCTGATGCGTCCTCGACAGCAACAACGGTCTGGCTAAAAAGCTGCGTAGCTTCTTTCTTCATCTCCCTTCCCATTGGTTTATAACCCTAATTTATTAGAATCCATGTGATTTAAACATTTGTATCAGCTTGTACATGAACCAGGGCTCATGGGACATTTTCGTTTGACAGCAAATGCAGCAGGAGACGTAGTGAATGTGCATGTTACCCCCCCTCCAGTCATGAATATGACCACCCATGGTAGCTGGAGGTACATATGAATTCCAGGTGTAAACGGCTCTACGTCTCACTGTCCGCTTAATGACCAGATCACTCAAGACAGATGTTAATGCCAAGTGTGAACAGGGCTTGGAACGGGCAGCGTATTTCAAACGAAATTCACTTTGCAAAGCAAAACGATGTCCTATTGGCCAAAGCAATGGTTTGAATTTTTATGGTGGCGCATTATTCATTCTGAGACCTCCCCTTGGCTGTGATTGGTCCTAATCACTGCATTATTCATTCTGAGGCCTCTTCCTGACTGTGATTGGTCCCAATCACCGCGTTATTCATTCTGAGACCTCCCCCTGACTGTGATTGGTCCCAATCACCGCATTATTCATTCTGAGACCTCCCCTTGACTGGGATTGGTCCCAATCACCGCATTATTCATTCTGAGACCTCCCCCTGACTGGGATTGGTCCCAATCACCGCGTTATTCATTCTGAGACCTCCCCCTGACTGGGATTGGTCCCAATCACCGCGTTATTCATTCTGAGACCTGCCCCCTGACTGGGATTGGTCCCAATCACCGCATTATTCATTCTGAGGCCTCCCCCCCTGACTGGGATTGGTCCCAATCACCGCATTATTCATTCTGAGGCCTCCCCCCCTGACTGGGATTGGTCCCAATCACCACGTTATTCATTCTGAGACCTCCCCCTGACTGTGATTTGTCCTAATCACCGCCGTCAGCCACTCTAAGACCTCCCCCACTTGGCTCTAATCACATCATTGTTTGGAGACCTCCCCTGGACTGTAATTGGTCCCAATCACTGCATTATTCATTCTGAGACCTCCCCCTGACTGTGATTGGTCCTACTCACCGCATTATTCATTCTGAGACCTCCCCCTGACTGTGATTGGTCCTACTCACTGCATTATTCATTCTGAGGCCTCTTCCTGACTGTGATTGTTCCTAATCACTGCATTACTCATTCTGAGACCTCCTCTTGACTGTGACTCCCCCTGACTGCTCGGCCCTAATCACCATGTCATTGTTTGGAGACCTCCCCTGGACTGTAATTGGTTCTAATCACAGAGTCATTCATTCTCGGACCTCCCTCTGGCTGTGCTCAGCCCTAATCACTGCATCAATTGTTCTGAGACCTCCCCCTGGCTGCGATTGGCCCACTGTGCGAAGCAAGTTCTTTTTAAGTAGAGTTCTTTTTAAGTCTATGTATGACAGCATGTTCAGCAATAGTCTGGTTTTGTTTTACGTCTTTCATAATTTGAAGTACACTGCAAGTTTAAGCTGCCATGTCAGGGCTTTCTGTACATCTGCCTGTACCCTGAGTTCATCTGAACATGTAACCGATCTCAGGGCAGATGGATGTAGCATTTGACTCTCAGTTTCTCAGTCCATCGCCTAGTGCCTGGCAACAGTAGCCGGACAAACATCTGGCCAGCAACGGCAGATGTGATGAAGAAAGATGAGAGCAGACTCTTAGTCTCTCGCTCGCTCTCTCTCTCTACCTCTCACACACTTATACCACCTAGCGTTCAGGCACGGTTGCTTGGTAACGCTGATCTTACGGTTGATTTGTTAGGATGGAGGTCACCTCTGGGAAGCTCTAGCCAGTCGAGTGCCTTGTTGAGCCTTTTAGCACAAGAATAAACCGATTTCACAGCTTTTGTTGCAGATCTACATACATTTATCAGTGATCTTGTGTTCTTCCTTCTGTTATTAGATGAACTCTAATCTACTGCACCTTTTCTTTTATACCAGAACGACTTTATATCTGTTCTTCATCGCCATTTGATCAGTAGTATCTAGATTATTTAAGCTCTCTGTGGATCTTTTATTACCTGACCTACATGCGTACCTTCTCCTTGAGTTCATAATGAGATACTGGTCGAACATGACTAGTGTTATCGATTTTTCCCTCAACGACATCATAAATGCACTAATATCTTCATAGAAACTCCATCTGCCACATCTGTCTATCTGTCTGTGCACACTAAATCAGCTAATTTACATTAGTACTACAGTAATCTAATAGAATTGTGGCCTTGTGAAGCCGTTTTACCCGTTCGTCTCCATTCGACCTCCCATAAGAAGACATGCAAACCTTCTAAAACCATCCAGACTTTTAAACCAAAAGCAAACCTTCGTTAAACATTCAGGCAACCACATTTCCAAATAACCCCTATGTAGTGTCTTTTAAACATACAGAACTCCAACCAAACAATGTGAATATAGCTCACTGAGTCTTACTCCACTGAAATTAATATTCAGGCACACTCCATTCATAAATGTTTACAAGCAAAAGAAAAAAAAAACAGGATTTCTCTCAAACGGTCCCTCACACACACAACGTACTACACTAAACGTCAATGTGACTTAGTTCAAGGTTTCCAAGAAACCTTGCTTTCAGGCAAAACATGTTGCTTTTGGTAGTGACGGTAAAGGAGGAGCTGCGTAACTTTTGAACTGTAAGTTATTATAACCACTAATTAAGCATGTGAATCACTACACTCGAAAAGAAACACGTTATCCTAAAAACACTCTCCCCGAAACACCAGCTCTTTGCGGTGATAGCTCAATGGGGTCCTCTCCGAAAACATCTCCTCGTGACCCCGTGAATAAACAGTGGCGTCCACTGCATCAGCACAGTTCAGGTTCCTGCAGGGATGCACTAACCACCCCACCCACGTGTTCCCGTTTCTTTCGTTCAGTCTGGGAGTTTGGCATCCTGTTGTGGAGTCTTCGGGTGGAGTAGAGACCCTATTCCTGGCCATATGGGGGCCTGAGGCACCCCAGCACGTCCCCCAGTGAAGAGAGCTTTCTGGATCGCAGCACCGACGGCTTCCGGGGGGTCCTGCTCGGGCCCTCGGAGCTGGCAAGTCAGCTGATCTGAAATGCACATGAGTGAGAGTTTTACATTCTGGTTGTATTGGTTAAACTACACGTCTTTTCCCAGTCAAAGTGGTCTAAATTTTTTTTGTTTTTACGTGAGTTTAACAGTTTACAGAATTGGCCCATTATGGAGCTTTAAAGTAATAGTTTATGAATAAATTTGAAAATTGTGTTATTTCATTTGCATTCTGAAAATCTGAAACCAAAAACACATTTATTCACGTTGCTAATGGATATTTCAGAAGTTAAACTAAACATGACTGAAAAAGAAACCAAATCAGACACTACGTCAGTAGGTTGTGTGTACATTTCCACATACTGTCACTATAGCAGTAAATCTACACTGATCAGGCATAACAGTCTGACCACCTCCTTGTTTCTACGCTCATTGTCCATTTTATCAGCTCCACTTACTATATAGGTGCACTTTGTAGTTCTACAGTTACAGACTGTAGTCCATCTGTTTCTCTGATACTTTGTTAGCCCCCTTTTACCCTGTTCTTCAGTGGTCAGGACCCCCATGGACCCTCACAGAGCAGGTACTATTTGGGTGGTGGATCATTCTCAGCACTGCAGTAACACTGACGTGGTGGTGGTGTGTTAGTGTGTGTTGTGCTGGTACGAGTGGATCAGACACAGCAGTGCTGCTGGAGTTTTTAAACACCTCAGTGTCACTGCTGGACTGAGAATAGTCCACCAACCAAAAATATCCAGCCAACAGTGTTCTGTGACCACTGATGAAGGACTAGAGGATGACCAACACAAACTGTGCAGCAGCAGATGAGCTATCGTCTCTGACTTTACATCTACAAGGTGGACTGACAAGGTAGGAGTGTCTAATAGAGTGGACAGTGAGTGGACATAGTGTTTAAAAACTCCAGCAGCACTGCTGTGTCTGATCCACTCATACCAGCACAACACACACTAACACACTAACACACCACCAGTCTGTAACTGTAGAACTACAAAGTGCACCTATATAGTAAGTGGAGCTGATAAAATGGACAATCAGTGTAGAAACAAGGAGGTGGTCATAATGTTATGCCTGATCGGTGTATTCCACTATAATGACTATTCAGACTTGCAAGCTAAGACAGAATTTTCTCAAACACTCTTTTATACCCACAACCACACTGTGAATGGGTACTGTTCTGGGACATTTGGTTTCAGGAATACAGAAATACTCAGATATGATATATAGTAGTTCACTGGCTAGTGTTATCTTGATGGACCTTTAATGCTACTGCTTGAACCCAAAACAAGGGCATCTGTCTGGTCCTAAAATAGCCCACCTAAGCTGCAAAAACAGTGGCAGCAGGCAGGAGGTGTTCCATATTAACCAGCAACAGTCTGAGTGTCCTTCCCTCTGGGCCTTGATGGAGATAATCTCCCCGTCAATGACGGAGAGAAGGTGGCCCATGGAACCCTGGCGTTTCCAAGGCGATGTAATAGGCGGGGCATTAATAACAAGATGTTCTGGGACCTTGAGAGTAGCAGCGGAAAAGGGAGAGTCATCGAACACCGGCGAGATCGAAGTGGACTGTGGGCGGCCCACCTTTCACCTGAACCCTTTGAAGTCCTCTTTTAACCTTTGTCACGCTAAAAGAGGTTTACTGAGAGAGATTTTCCACATTTAGTGCCCAATGTCAGGCTGATGAACTAATTCTGCCGATCAGTTTGTAGCCAATCAGTATCTCTATCTAACATCAACAGAAAAAATAATCTCGTCAAGTACATCTCGTATCTACACTCTGTTCCATTTGATCAGCTCCACTGACCATATAGATGCACTTTGTAGTTCTACTATTACAGACTGTAGTCCATCTGTTTCTCTGCATACTTTGCTACCCTGTTCTTCAGTGGTCAGGATCTTGTCAGTCCACCTTGTAGATGTAAAGTCAGAGACGACAGCGCATCTGCTGCTGCACAGTTTGTGTTGGTCATCCTCTAGTTTTTTGTCAGTGGTCACAGGACGCTGCCCACAGGACGCTGTTGGCTGGATATTTTTGGTTGGTGGACTATTCCCAGTCCAGCAGTGACACTGAGGCATTTAAAAACTCCAGCAGCACTGCTGTGTCTGATCCACTCAGACCAGCGCAACACACACTAACACACCACCACCACGTCAGTGTTACTGCAGTGCTGAGAATGATCCACCACCCAAATAGTACCTGCTCTGTGAGGGTCCGTGGGGGTCCTGACCACTGAAGAACAGGGTAAAAGGGGGCTAACAAAGTATCAGAGAAACAGATGGACTACAGTCTGTAACTGTAGAACTACAAAGTGCACCTATATAGTAAGTGGACATAATAAAGTAGCTGATCATTGTATTTAGCTTAAGAAAAGTATATCTGTCAAATTCATCATAATTCAGCTACTGACATGCAAATCGATTAACTTTATGATTGAGTTCTCACTGAATAAAAAAACAATAGTACAAGCTTGTTTAATTTATGTATTTATGTATTTATTTATTCATGTGTTTATTCACAGCACTAGTGTAATGACAGAAACAGTGAGGGTCTTCGTATGTGGCAAATTAGGCTACTGTTAAAAATTATTTTAAATTCTGTTTATGGGTCATTCTACAGAAACGTCCACTTTTCTGTCTCTCCATAGGAGTCACTGGTGTTTCTGGTCCTCATTGGTGTTACACATAATAAAGGAACACCAGAGACATTTTTAATGAAAAATGCATTTTACAAAACGGCTGCTACAGAGCATCAAACCACATGTTGTCAATCATGGAATATCCACTAAAATATGTCATTTAAACCATTTTTATTCTATTTTTTCACAACTACCTCAGAATAAAGTCGGTCACACCGGTGACTTCAGCTAAAAGCTTCATATGAAATCATGAGCTAAATGAGAAAATCTCTGATAACTGAAAGACACAGTGGACTCACCATGAGCTTTTCTTCATAGATCCTCAGAAAACAGGTAAAAGGAAGTCTAGTGATGTCATCAGTGTGATTTTTGTTTCAAAACAAGAGATTTTTGTTATGCGGTAACACCAGTGACACGACTCCTGGGGACCACAACTTTCATTATATATTTTATAATATTTATTTGGTGTTTGTTTTCTTTATGTCATTTAAATCATATATTTCATAGTCATGTATAGATTATTGCAGTTAAAATTGCAGAAAAACATGTTTTTTCTTCAAAATATGGCCTCAGCCTTTACACACGACTGTGAGGACGAGCTCTTCTGTGGTGCTTGGAATTCTAGATAACTGATCTAAAAACTAATATTGCTAAATTGAGGCTCAAGAAGGTGTAACTGTTAAAATAACTTATTGTTTTATTTTAAAAATATATATCAATTCTGACCCTAACATGTTTTTCAAGTGTAATATATGTGTAAACGTTAGGGACACAAAAATGGACATTTCGGCAGAATGACCCATATGCTAAATTGTTGCTACTCACCAGCAGCAAGCAGTTTCCTGCTCTGCACACTGTGTGAGCAACAAGCCTTTTGGTGCAAGATACAATCGTTGGGTTTGGGTTGAAAAAACGTTGGTGAAGTTCACAGAATCATGCCTTTGTAAGTTTTAGGAGATTTGGTTTGAAGCTACTGAGCCACTCTTACCCACGCAAAAAACAAGAGTCTGCTCGTTCTGCTCTGCTGCTTGGCATTCTCAGTGTGGAGGTGTTCACCCTGGGGTCTTTTTCAAATTAATTAAACGGATTAGCAATGAACAAAGCAAAATGTCTGCTAATTAGTCTGCTTATAAAGATGTGAATAAAGGAAAGTTGAAGTTAAGGTTTCCCATCCCTCAAACGTTTGGGGGGAGGTTTCTACAGCGGACTTTGCACCTACTAATGAGTAGTTATAACTGAGGGCTACATTGAAACTAAGTTATTGCAGTGGTTTAAATTTCAGTAGCTTGTGAAGTGAAACACAACACAACCATGTTTGCTTTTTTTTCGGAATTGTTTGTCCTATTTGCCCAATCTGGTCCTGTCCAATTCCACCCACTAGTTACGTCTCCCATACCACTAGTGCTAGGAGTGTGAAGGCTAGAACAAGCTTCTGCTGGGTTATGTGAAGCCAGTCACCACACCTTTTCAACCTGCCGCTAACGCAACGTTATTACACGCTTGGAAGAGAACACTAACCACCAGTTACTGCGCTGGCTAGCATTGCGCTGGGTGATAGGGGAAGTTGGACTATCCTCTCTGGCCACCCAGAGAGAGCGAGGCCAATTGTGGCCTTCTGGACGCCCCACTACGGATGGCTGTGGCATCACCAGGGATCGAACTTGTGATCTCCTGATGACAGGGCCTAGGCGTAGACAGTTGTGCCCCTTGGAAGTAGGGCTGGGCGATAAAACGATAACGATAATTATCGCGATATAACTTTCCTCGAAACTATAAGAAATGTTCAATAAATGTTCAATATGATAGACCATTCTCACACTTCTGCATTCTGGCGACAACCCTGGTGCCATTTCCAACTGCAAGGAAAGCGACACTGCTCTGCTGTCGCCAGGAGAGGGCGCTCTTCCGAGTTTTCCAACATGATTAGAGAGGGAGGGGGTGACGAGTAAAATGAGTCGCCAAATATACTTTAGCCATGTCTGAAACGTGGAGTTATATATTCCCTGTTTGAGTGGAGCGACCGGCGATCTGTCCTCCTGTGACCGAGTGTGAGTGACGAGGTCAGTGGTGTAACTGTACTGTCCTACAGTGAACTCACCTCTTTCCTAACATCCTAACAAGCTTTAGCAGCATTAAATCACGTCTGCTCCTCTCAACTACAGCACTGTTACAGCGCTCAGTCATATTTTAGTATTAGTGCATTCACAAGCAGCAAAAGAGAGAGAAAGAAGTGGGTTCATGTTCGTTACAGCACTGATTTAAAGTTTAAGTAAACTGAGGATTCTCTATGTGAGGCACTGGAGAGCGGGAGAACGCTAGCTTCCCAGGCCAGCTGTTTTTAGCAGCTGGCTAACTTGAAGCAGCACTCTGTCACTCACACAGCACAGAGTATTGATGTTAAATGTACCTAAAAGGAGGACTCTGTTTGTCTGGTGTGAGAGATTCACACTTTTACACAGCGAGCGTCAGATATATTGCGGTTCACCCCTCAAACTGCTATGATAGAATAGAGAAACTCAGTCTTCGGCTAGCTGGTGTTTGAATACTGTGATCTGCTCTGACATTGATGTGGTAGGAGTGACGGCAGTAAGGCGGTGTGAACATCACTGGCCTACCGAGCCAGATAATGTTTGCTGCTCCTATTAAGCTGATGTTGTTGAGAAACTAAACAGTTTAGCACTTGTAACCGGATAGCCGAGCGCTCATCACCACACAGCTAAAATAATCTGTTTTCTTTAATGTTTTGGTAAAAGCAGCTAATCAGAAACTTTCTCCCACTCTCCCATGACAAATTTGTGTTCCACTGGCGAGTGTTTTGTCATGTTCTGACCATAAAGGATAGTTTAAAACAGCAACTGACCACTCAGGAACAAAAATCAGCCTTCAAACTTGAAAGAAATAACAATTTAACATTTATCACGATATGTATCGATACCGACTAATACGAATCCTTTTATTGTGGTAACATTTTTGGCCATATCGACCAGCTCTACTTAGAAGAAAACCATTTTCTGTACTGTAGAACCAAAAATAGTGCCAAATTTGAAAGTATGTACATCATTATATCCATAATGTAAATAGTGGAAACATATTAACATATTAACATGTTAATACAAGCATATTAACACAAGACACATAATCACACACTCCTTATTTTTGCTGTGTCAAAGAATATATCATGACATCACTGTGAATTCTGTGTATCAATACAGCCCTGCTTTGGGTAGAAGTACAAGAAAAATGTTTCTGATAAAGTGGACGGCCAGTGCATGTTGCACCATCCGAGTGTGCCTCCTTACTGAAACAGGTTCAGTTGAAGTACAAATAAATTAAACTTTACCTCAGAAGCCTCTGTGTTATGCTGATGCTGTGGTATGACCCCATTACTCTCCGTCTCTTCTGTCTGCTCCTGTGAATCCCTCCGTCCGTGTCCAGTCCCTGCCATCGCTGCTGTTCCCTGCGTTTCGTTCTCCCAGCGAGCGAAGCCTTTGTTTTTGGAGACTTTGCGGTGCGGCCTGCACCTCATCTTGGGGAAGGTGTGCGAGCCGGCGTCAGCGGCCGGACCCCAGCCGTGTTCCGGCCACAGCGGCTCCGTCTGAGTGGCCTGGCTGGTGGTGGCTCTCTGGAGCCGGACCGAGATCCGCTGGGCAGAGCCGGTCATCAGCGTGATGGACTTGCCTTCTAAATCTGAGCCCGAAGAGGAGCTCACGGCAGGAAACTCAAACACCTCGTCTTCATCTGGAGAGAGGGGTTGAACAGCAAGAAGAAGAGCTTCTCAGATCAGTTTGTGAAGAATGCAGCATACAGGGAGATTCACTCAAAAGAGGCCCCGAATATTCTGTAATAACTCTCTCTAGGACGAAGCAATCTGAATGAAACAACGTGCAATGAGCTCCTCAGTATATGGAGCTTCCAACAAGCTGGGATGCCCCTGCGTCGGAGTGATGAGGTAGGCGCCGGACAGCCATCACAGTGTTTAACCTCCGTTTGCAACATCCGGGTGCATACCCCTGTACCCCTTCATGTGTCTGGCAGAAAACAGAGATCACTTCCAGCATCGCATGTAATGCAATCGATTACACATATGTCAAGGTATGTAGTGTATTTTTTTGGTTCAGATTGGTTCATCCTAATGGGAGTTACCACAGAATATTCGGGGCCTCTTTTGAGTGAATCTCCCTGTATTTCATCATTGAATCAAAAAGATGACCAGTCTCTCCTTGGTTTTGTTTCAGTTTTGCAACACTGAATGGCCAAAGATTTTCAGTACATGCTTTTAACAATAGTTTGTAAAAGAAAAATGTTTTAATCATGATGAGCTAAAAATACTCAGTGTTATTAAATAGCTTTGTTGTTTTATGTTAAAGCATTAAAATTCGTTAAGATCGTTCAGAGTGGTTTAATATGACATATGCCATTCTAGAGAAACCTGCAGAGTCTGTATGGTTCACAGTGGTGGTGAAAGGAACCAGACGTCCAATGTGTTGTGATGTCTAAATGCTAACAGTTACGAAATCTCTGCCTGGTGTTTGAGACTGATAGTTTTGAGAAGGTTTTGGCCTAAAACACATCTTTAAAATACATCAATGGCAGAGAGGTACATGCAGGGCGTTGTAAGACAAAATAGTCCCCAAAGAAAACATACTTTTTCAGATTGACCACTTTTATCAACATTGCATATAAAAAGTCACAATGCATGTGTAGGTTCACTGGTCATTTTGCACTCTTAGAAATAAAGGTACGGTGCAGTTCGTTCATTAAGGTAAAACCAATGTAAATATCCCTTAAAAGTACAACAGTGGTTTTAAGGTCTGATTGTGAACCTTAAATAAGTTTTTCCAGGTGAAAAGTTCGTATTTGTACCTTTTCATAACCTAAAGTTTTAAAACAGAACAGCAAAAATAAAAGCCTGGAGTCGAGACGGGGTGTGTGGAGTCAGTACAGCTTAGAACATATCATTTCAGTGGATTATGGTACAGTTATGTTCCCTGACTAAAGGTACTGAGATGGACCCTTGAGGGTCCCACCCCAGTGACGAGAGGGGCACTCGTACCTTTGTTTGCTAAGAGTGTGGATGGCAGATAAAATGCTTGTGTTGTGGAGATCGTGGTTCCTACTAACACCACTGTAAAGCATTCCCTTTAATTGAAAACCTATAGCAAAAACATTACATTTTTAAAAAGGCCTAGTTGATGAAACTGTTGCCATGCAGCCTGTTTTCCTTGTTCATTTGTATGTGTATCTTGATCTGGCCTCAGGTTAACACTGCTTATGACTATTCAGCACCGGTACATTTATGCAGTTCGTTGTACCTTTACAGGCGGGCAGTGCAGGGCTGCTGGGCAGAGAGCTGTGCGTGAGGGCTCCTGGGGAGACGCTGCCCAGAGAGGTGGAGCGAGGAAGCCTGCGGCACGCCAACACCAGCAGCTCACGACACTGCTTATGGCAGTTGACCCCACAGTCTGGGAAGAGCAGAAGGAGCACACATATAAATATTACAAAGCCCGCAAATCGCAATCACAATATGCAGCAATATCACAATATGTTATTTTGTGCCACCCCTATTAAGGAAGTCCAGTGATGTTATTGTGAGTTTCATGATCAGCGACTGAGAGAAAGGGAGTGTACCTTTGCACTTGTAGCCCTGTTTGATAATTCCCCAGAGCTGGACAGCAGGAAAGAGGGGGCGAAAATAGAGAAGGAGAGAGAGAGAGAGAGAAAAAAAAAAACATGAGTAGAAACAGTGGTGATACATCAATGCAGCGAGCGCTTTGAGGCACGCCAATGTGCAATAAACAGGATACATCCACACACGTAACACCCTTCCTGTACAATAGTGTGTGTGTGCGCGCAGGCATGTGTGTTTCATCTCAGCACTGCAGCCTTCTGATTCCTGTCTAACCATCTGTGTAAATACAACATAATTAGTTCAGCAACGAGCCGCACTGTAATTACTCTGTTTCATGCTCGGCTTAATAATCCACAAGCTCGGCCTTTATCTGCTCTGCTCTACAAAAACTCTCCATCTCTGTAAACAGAGTTGATGTCGCTGTTTAATTGCACAAATAACTGCCAACCATGTACGAGATACTCTAATACCAGAGCCGATCAAGCTGAATGTGAATGAGAGTACAATCCTGCAGATACACTGATCAGGCATAACATTATGACCACCTCCTTGTTTATACACTCGTTGTCCATTTCATCAGCTCCACTTACTATATAGGTGCACTTTGTAGTTCTACAGTTACAGACTGTAGTCCATCTGTTTCTCTGCATACTTTGTTAGCCCACTTTTACCCTCTTCTTCAGTGGTCAGGATCCCCATGGACCCTCACAGAGCAGGTACTATTTGGGTGATTGGTCATTCTCAGCTCACTGTCCACTCTATTAGACACTCCTACCTTGTCAGTCCACTTTGTAGATGTAAAGTCAGAGACGACAGCTCATCTGCTGCTGCACAGTTTGTGTTGGTCATCCTCTAGTCCTTCATGAGTGGTCACAGGACACTGCCCACAGGACGCTGTTGGCTGGATATTTTTGGTTGGTGGACTATTCTCAGTCCAGCAGCGACACTGAGGTGTTTAAAAACACTAAAAAACCTACAGTCTGTAACTGTAGAACTACAAAGTGCACCTATATAGTAAGTGGAGCTGACAAAATGGACAATAAGCGTAGAAACAAGGAGGTGGTCATAATGTTATGCCTGATCGGTGTACATAAAGAATCACAATATGGCCAAAAGTATATGCTCACCATCACACTTATATGATCTTGTTGAACATCCCATTCCAAAAACATATGTATTAATATGGATTTGCCCCTCCTACTTTTCTTGGAAGGCTTTCTACAAAATTCTGTGGGAATTTGTGCCCATTTGGAGCCTTTGAGAGGTAAGGCACTAACGCTGGATGAGAAGGCCTGGCTCACAATTGACGCTCCAATTCGTCCCAAAAGTGTTCAGTGGGGTTGAGGTCAGGGCTCTGTGCAGGCCATGGAGCTCCTCCACACCAAACTCATCAAACCCTGTCTTTATGGACCTCACTTTGTGCACAGTCATGCTGGAGCAAGAAAGGGTCTTCTCTAAACTGTTGCAACAAAGTTGGAGAAATATATTTGTCTCAAATTTCTTTCTAAACTGTAGCATCACCCTTCCCTGAAAATGAGGAGCAACACCTGAAAAACAGCCCGGACCATTATCCCTCCTCCACCAAACTTTACTGTTGGCACTGTGCATTCCAGTAGGTAGTGTTGTCCTGGCGTCCACAAAACCCACTGCCAGATAGTGAAGCATAATTCATCCTTCCAGAGAACTTTTCCACTTTTCCAGAGTCCAGTGGTGGCACTTTACACCACTCCAGCTGACGCTTGGCATTGCACATAGTCATCTTAGGCTTGTGTGCAGGTGCTCAGCCATGGAGACCCGTTTAATGAAGCTCCAGACACACAGTTCTTGTGTGGATGCTGCCTCCAGAGTCTGTTTGGATCTCTGTAGTGAGTGATGCAACAGAGGATAGGCGATTGTTCTGACTGTTGATCGTTTCTAGACACTTCCAACACTTCCAGTTGCCTGGGGCAGATCTAGCAAGGCAGGAATTTCACAAACTGACTTGTGGCAAAGGCACTTTTAAAGTCACTGAGCTCTTCAGTACAGTCCATTCTACTGCCTTTTGAGATTGCATGGCTATGTGCTTGATTTTTGTCACAAATGTCACCAACGAGGCTATGGACTCGATCTCCCAGAATCCTCTGGGAGATCACATGACCTCCTCACTGCCTGCAGACTCCATTCCACACACGGACTACATCTCCCAGCTGACTGCTGATCTCCACACTCGCTCCTATCAGCGTTCACGGTCGCCTGGGTTTTAATGTGTGATACCTGTATGTTTTGTCACATGACTACTTCAGAGTAGCTTATAAGCCCGAGCTTTAGCAATAGTTAGTTGCGAGGTATTGCTTCATTCGTGAACTACTGAGCGTTATTTCTATTGTGTTTTTCGTGTATGACTTGTATTCTCGTTTCCCCGACTCTGATTTTTGGTTTACCCCTCTGGATTGTTTGCATTGGTTCTCTGTTTTTGTGCCTTGACATTTTTGCCAGCCGTTTGACCACGAGTTTGGATTCCGATTTCAACATTAAAGCCTGGTTGTACTCCTTTATCCGCGAGCATCTACCTTCTGTGATATTCGTTACAATTTTACACAACTGTTAGCAATGGGTGTGGCTGAAACAACTGAACTTAGCAATTAGAGTATCCACATACTTTTGCCCATATAGTGTAAATTATGAAAAATAAATAGGGCTGGCATTTTTTTTTGAATGAGGCCCCCAGTTTTTACTTTACAGTACTTTGCAGAAATGAGTGGAATAAAAATATAAAAATAAAAATAAGATACTTCATAAAAGTATCTAAGGACAGTGATGAACTACACATACTTCTTTACAGTCCAGCATTGGATAGAATCCACGATTATAGCCCTGTTGTTAAAATACAGCATTTTATGTTATACCTTCAGTAGGACACGCTGGACAGTGTCCACGGAAGAACCATGGATAAATCAACAAGCAGAAAACTAACAAAAGCAGCAGCAAAGTGGAAAGCTACAGTTCTCCTGGAGAGCCTTCACTATGACAAGCTGTATGAAGACGAGCAAGAGGGTCAAATTTGAACAAATAAGACAGATGCGATTCATTGCATTTAACTATATAAAACGATGCCATTTATAACGATTTTATTTAACTGTTTAATTAATTTTAAGTACTTCACAGCCCTAGAAAACACAAATATTCTCTTAGTTTAGTCCATAGCTACACATAAACCATTCTATTGAGAGGCCCTTATGACATTTAACCTTTGCTTTCCCTTATTGTCTGTAGAATTGGATGTAGTTCTGTTAAAATCTTTGCTCCATGGCATGCTAGCCTACAGCAATGCCCCTTCAAAGACTGTATGTGCTGTCCTTTAGCCGCAGTGACCAAGATCTGCTTCAGAAGGTCATTTGGACCCTCAGGCTGTGACAGTGGTCACAGATCTAACATCTGCTGCAGTAGATGATGACGTGAGAGTGTTACAGCAGCGTATTAGGTGAAAATGGGCCTGTATAAACTATACTATACAGTGGGCGGCAGTGTAACCTACTGTACAGTGATCAGCTGCCACTAAGCACGTCATAATGATCCAGATACAGCAAGACAATTTTATATGATAATTCAGCACTGGATATAGGAGATATTTTGCTGATATAACTGTATCTGTCCACTGAGCAATGAGTTGCTCAAGCACAATGTATACAACAGGCCAAAAGTATATGGGTCATTCTACAGAAATGTCCACTTTTCTATCTCTCCATAGGAGTCACTGGTGTTACCGATCCTCATTGGTGTTACACATAAGAAAGGAAACACCAGAGACATTTTTAATGAACAATGCATTTTACAAAATGGCTGCTACAGAGCATCAAACCACATGTTGTCAATCATGGAATGTCCACTAAAATATGGAATTTAATCCATTTGTATTCCATTTTTTACAATTACATCAGAATAAAGTCGGTCACACCAGTGACTTCAGCTAAAAGGTTCATATGAAATCATGAGCTAAATGAGAAAATCTCTGATAACTGAAAGACACAGTGGACTCACCATGTGCTTTTCTTCATAGATCCTCAGAAAACAGGTAAAAGGAGGTCGAGTGATGTCATCAGTGTGACTTTTATTTCAAAATAAGAGATTTTTTGTTACACAGTAACACCAGTGACACGATTCCTGGGGACAACAACTTTCATTATATATTTTATAATATTTATTTGGCGTTTGTTTTCCTTATGTCATTTAATTTATATATTCCATAGTCATGTACAGATTATTGTAGTTAAAATTGCAGAAAGACGTGTTTTTTCTTCAAAATATGGCCTCAGCCTTTACACACGACTGTGGGGACGAGCTCTTTTGTGGTGCCTGGAATTCTAGATAATTGATTTAAAAACAAATATTTCTAAATTGAGGCTCAAGAAGGTGTAATAGTTAAAATAACTTATTGTTTTATTTTAAAATATAAATAAATTGTAACCCTAACATGTTTTTGAAATGTAATATATCTGTACATGCTAGGGACACAAAAACGGATGTTTCTGTAGAATGACCCATAAAAGTAAGCTGTTTGAAAACTACAATTAAGCCAATTTGTCAGTCACCAACAACACAACACTAAATCTACTTTAACCAATTTTTCCCTAAATATTACACTGGATTGCAGTGATGTAATATTCTATATGGTAGGGAGGGTCTGAACTTTCAAATATTCGAATAGTCATGAAAGTTCAAAAAATCAACAAGTAAACTAGAATGTTTGATATGCAAAATAGCTTCTCGCTAATGTTACACATTATGTTCTCATATAGACCACTGTAGTCGTGCGTCCTTCTGTAGTCCTCGTTATGCCCATATTAGGAACTCCAGGTCTGAGCTCCATTTCTCTCTGGCCAGAATGAATAGGGTTTTTGAAAAATCGCCTCTATCGCCCCCTGTATTAAATAAACATGTTCAGAACCTGATACGTTTTGTCCTGTGAACATTCTTTTCTCGAATACCACTGAATCTTTGGATTATGAGGTCGTTAAAGAGCCTTAATGCTAATATTTCTACATGCAAGCTAAAGCTACTGCGCATCAATTTGATGTCACCAAGCTACACAAAACTAAGGCTAGCTATGGCGGTGTTTTGGCGTGTTGTACTACCATATCGAAATGTTTTATTATATACCTGTAAATAAAACCTCTAGGCAGGACATTTCGATAGCCTACAACTCCTTATCAAAAAATACTACTAGCATTAAAACTACGAGGCTGAATTTAGTATTTTTTCTGCCGGCTGCTTGTTCGAATTTTCCCGTTCAACGTTAATGGTGCAGCAGTTCAGAATGTAACTGCTGCACCATTTAAGGTGGAACTGGAAAAGTCAAATAAGAAGCTGGTGAATGTTCTGAGAAAATGTTCTCAGAAAATGTTACCGGCATTAAAATAATAGTTAGAATATTCTGATAGCCTAAATCAGCTGATCAGGGGGTCAGCAGTAATATTAAGCTGAGTCTGTACTGGATTAGCCTGAGAGCAGGTAAGTTTGTAGAGCTTTTTAAATCTGTCGTGTTTCAAAGTTTCTTATCTGTTTAGTCCATAAAAGGGACAAGGAAATGCAGCACCATAGTGTCTCCAGGTAGCAGATACACAAAGCATGGCTATATCACATAGGAAGAGTCACAGAAAAGCACCCAGAAACAAGAAGCTCAACTTAACTTTATGTTCTACGTTTACAGAATAAAACTTTCAGCATCATCTAGTGGATCTGTCTGGTTTGGAATCAGCTAACAATTCACAAACTCACTGTTTTCCGAGTAATAAGGTGGACTATGATGCGACGGGGCTAGTGATGTTACCTGTGGTGAAAACAGATGATTGGCATTTGCTGGTTTATCTTAATGACTTAGAGTTTAGTCTTACATTTGAATATCACATTTGACTTACATGCCAATCACTACCATATAGGAAAAGCCTTGGTGGCCTTTTAAATAACAGAACAAACTGCATCCAGTTACAGGGGTTCTTTTCACACTGTATTAGCTATGAACTGGCGAGAGAACAGTGATTTCAATAAATCACAATCACAAAACTTGAACTTTGCACTCTAGGCCAGCCTCAGTGAGCTAATTAGCTAGAAAAGTAAACTTAGCAGCCTGTTTTTAGAAGCTCAAATGTAACAGTCATGGGTCAAATAGTTGCTTTGTCTGGATTAAAGCCCAAAGGAACCTAAATCTGTGTTTAGTCTTGCTCTTCTGCACACCAAACATACATATCGCTGTGGTTGGAAGAAAACCTCATATATTCAAAATGGTAACTTTACAGGAGAAGGAAAAAACTACTTTACTTTTAATGTAAGTAAATGGAACCAGACTTCTTTCCAAGTCATTTTGGACCATTTCTTTTGGTCCATTCATCATGAAATTTACAGACAAAATAAAGGACACCAGGATTTTTCAAATTATGTCAAAAACAGAAAAACGACAAAAATAGAGATACGAGGTTTCCTTCCGACAGCAACGATATGCATGATGTCCTGTGGACAACTTTCCATTGACCACTCAATGGCTGATGTATTTTGCCAAAATTCTCTTTTGTAGTAAACCGGGCAATCTTGGTCATTTCCGGTTACATGTACATAAGCAGTATCCACACCAATCACGAGGCTGATGTGGTTTGTCCCGTCCACACAGATTAAACAAAACTGTCATCCACTACAGTTGAGTCTTAACCAATGAAAGCTAACAACCAAGCGAAAGCTAACCTAGCAATCTAGCTCATCTGTCTGCCTCTCATCCATGCATTCATATAAATGACCACAATCAACAATACATCCTGCATATATAGAGCCCCTTATACTCCTGTGCTGTTGTGTTTAGTTCTGTATTAGCAGCGTAGCAGACAGTGTGATGGACTGATGGCTGTCAGAATATTAAGCCACGCCCAGACAGTGCTCAGATATGTCTGATCATTGTTTTTTAAGCTGTTTTATTGTATTTCTATCTTGTTTTTTCATGTTTAATGTAACACTTTAGTGTAACACTCAATCACAGTATTTTACAGTGCATCGTCCCTCTTTTTTGTTCTTGCTTGCTGTGTTGCCCAGTTGCCCAACAGCTTTGTCCACCTGTTTGAAAAGGGAATTGCATTATATGGCCACAAGTAGATTCTGCTGCAGAAGTCTACAGTTACAGGGACTTGACCCCTCACCCTGCTGAGTGGTCAACTAGCAAACTTCATTCAAGCAAATATGGTAAAGGAACAGCCTTTGAGATTCCCCTTAGGAGAAATGCTGAGGGCAAGTCCACAAGGGCACACGCTGACCTAAATTCTGCACAGAATAATTGGCCCTGATTGCTAATAATCATGCTTTTCCATATTTAGCAGCATTAGTAAGGCTGAAAGGGAGCGTGTCCTTACAAATCCGGCGCAGTGTTCACAGAAGGTGGGCTTCAGGTAGGTCATCTCCTGGAAGTTGTGGATGAACCCCGGCCCCATTTTACACTGCAGCACAGGGTTAGCGCGAAGAAAATACGCCATCATCTCATCCTTACTGATCAAGCCATCCCTACAGAGGAAGAAAGAGATGGGGGGGGGTTAAAAAAGAACAAACCAAATAAAAAGGAATAAAAATATTAGAGCAATAGCCGTGGTAGGCAATGCATTTGAGTCATTCCACAGAAACCATAGCGTTTTACAGATATATTACACTTCAACAACATGTTAAGGTTACAATTTATTGATATTTTATAATAAAACAATAAGTTATTTTAACAATTACACCTTCTTGAGCCTCAATTTAGCAATATTGGTTTTAAATCAATTATATAGAATTCCAGGCACCACAGAAGAGCTCGTCCCCACAGTCACGTGTAAAGGCTGAGGCCATATTTTGATGTTTTTTCTTGAGATAACAAGATAACTAATTTGTTATTTCAAGATAACAACAATGTTATCTTGAGATAAGTCAATTAACTTGTTATCTCAACATAGCAACTTTGTTATCTTGCGGTTGCAATCTTGTTATCTCGAGATAAGATAACTAATCTTGTTATTTCAAGATAACAACGTTGTTATCTTAAGATAATGAACTTGTTATTTCAAGATAGCAACTTTGTTATCTAGCGGTCACAAGAAAATGAACTTGTTATCTCGGGATAACAAGATAACTAATTTTGTTATTTCAAGATAACAACGTTATCTTAAGATAATTAACTTGTTATCTCAAGATAGCAACTTTGTTATCTAGTGGCCACAAGGAAATAAACTTGTTATATCAAGATAACAAGTTTTATTATCTCAAGATAACAAGAAAACTAACTTGTTATATCAAGATAACAACTTTGTTATCTCGCCACTCTACAGTTTCAGTTTCATTTCCCAAACACCTTAGCCGAGCATGCAAACATAAGATAAGATTTCAGGCTTAAGAAGTTTCTGTAATATGGCCCCTGGTTACGGACGCCTGTGGCGTCATCAGGATCCAGCTCCCAATCTCCACACAGTAGAGCTGATGCTTAATTTTGATGCAGTTTGAGATTCCATGATGCACTGGAGTGTTTACAGTGTTGGTTTGGAGATTTACACCTCTAGCATTAGAGCAGCTGGAACTGATGTTATAACTGTGTTTAAACGTGACGTTGTGATTGAATGAGAGAGAAACAGGGTCTGACTCTGTCCTGAACTCTCCAGCACTGCATTCAGAGCAGGGCAGTCACTGATTCGATGGTAATATGATTTGAACGCTGTGGTGAACAGATGAACCTCTCAGCAGACCAGCTGACTAGTGTGTGTCTGTGTGTGTGTGTGCGCCATGTGCCATGTGCCGTGTGTCCTTCATAGCCTGCCATAACCTTCAGACCTCCTGAAGACAGAGTGAGAAAAACACACTGCACTAGCAAAAGCCGTGACCGCGGCCCGAGATGACTCGGATGCGTCTGTTTACCGAGCAGGGCGCCTTCTGTAGCCCAGTCATTTATGAAAGCACTTTCTGCTACAACAAATCCAGAAATGACTCTAGCTTCACACATTTCAAATGTTTGTACCAACTATATGGCCTGTGCCATAGACACAAACCACCTTTCATTTATATCACTTCCATTGAAAATGGCCAGGACCCCCACAGGACCACCACAGAACAGGTATTACTCAGTTATCCACTGTGATCCACTCGCACCAGCTTGTCAGTGTTATTGCAGCGCTGAGAATGATCCACCACCCAAATAATACCTGCTTTGTGGGGGCCAAAGATAGCAACTTTGTTATCTAGTGGTCACAAGAAAATAAACTTGTTATCTCAAGATAACAAGTTTTATTATCTCAAGATAACAAGATAACTAACTTGTTATTTCAAGACAACAACAACTTTGTTGTCTTGAGAAATGATAATTAACTTGTTATCTCAAGATAGCAACTTTGTTATCTAGCCGTCACAAGAAAATGAACTTGTTATCTCAAGATAACAAGTTTTATTATCTCGAGATAACAAGACAACTAACTTGTTATTTTAAGATAACAACATTGCTATCTCAAGATAACAACTTTGTTATCTAGTGGTCACAAGAAAATTAACTAAGTTTTATTAGCTTGAAATAACAAGATAACTAACTTGTTATTTCAAGATAGCAACTTTGATATCTAGCAGTCAAAAGAAAATTATCTTGTTATCTTAATATAAAAAGTTTTGTTATCTCGATGCTCCACAGTTTCAGTTTCATGTCCCAAATGCTTTAGCCAGCGCGCTAACATAAGATTTCAGACTTAAGATGTTTCTGTAATATGGCCCCTAGTTTATGTTACTTCCATTCAAAATGGCCAGGACCCCCACAGGACCACCACAGAACAGGTATTACTTGGTTGTCTACTGTGTCTGATCCACCCGTACCAGCTTGTCAGTGTCACTGCAGTGCTGAGAATGATCCACCACCCAAATATTACCTGCTCTGTGAGGGTCCATGGGGGTCCTGACCACTGAAGAACAGGATAAAAGGGGGCTAACAAAGTATGCAGAGAAACAGATGGACTACAGTCTGTAACTGTAGAACTACAAAGCACACCTATATGGTCAGTGGAGCTGATCAAATGGACAAAGAGTGTAGATACAAGGCGTGATTTAATGAAGTGGCTGGTTGGTGTAGGCATCAATAAACTTCTTGTGTTGTTTGTTGACAAACTGACTGGTGAACTCCACCAAAGTTTCTGCATAATTCCAGTAAAAGGAAGAAGGATTCAGTCACATAAATAAACAAAGAAGGACATTTGCTCTAGAACAGAAAACTGGACATCTAAGATATGTAGTAGGGCTTTATGAACTCATGAGTCTACCTTTGTAATTCTGGACCAAGATTATTGGATCGCAATTATTATTCACCACAGTCACCTTCTTCTTTCAGCTGTACGGCTGAGTGAGTTGCTGCTGCCCTCCTGTTCTGAAATCAGAGCCTGTGCTTTTGCGATGACATGCACATTTATGGTGTAGGCATTGTAATATGCAGCAACCGTGCATCTGCACATGCATCTCCCAACACTGCTTACTCAGCCATAAGGGAGAGGGTGCATAGAAACCACATCTCTTCAGATCAACGTCACACCTCCAAACTTGACTGTGGTTACAGCAAAGGTAGACAGTATACTGTGAATCAGTCAAAATGCATGCACCGATAACTATTTATGGGCAAATGTTCTCAGCTTGATGTATAATATAGACTTTCTAGGCCATAACTTTAGGAGTTCTGAGTTATTTAATGATAATGGAAAAGTCATGTATTTAAATGCAGTAAAGTGGCTAAATGTCTACAGCGGTACTGTATAGTGAATGTCATGCAGAGTTTTATTCCATCTTTAATAATATTCACCTGATTCTACAACCCCATTTTCAAAGAAGTTGGCACGCTGTGCAAAATGTAAATAAAAACTAAATGCAATAATGTGCAAATCATTTAAACCCTCTATTTCATTTAAAATAGTACAAAGACAGCACATCAGATGTTGAAACTGAGAAATGTCATTCTTTTTTGAAAAATATTTGCCCATTTTGAATTTGATGCCAGCAACATGTTCCAAAAAAAGTGGAACAGGGGCAACAAAAAGCTGGTAATGTTGTGTAATGCAAAAAAAAAACAAAAAAAAACACCTGGTGGTTGATTGGCAACAGGCCAGAAACATGACTGGGTATAAAAGAGCATCTCAGAGAGGCGGAGTCTTTCAGAAGTAAAGATGAGGAGGGGTTCACCACTCCATGCAGTGAAAGACTGCATGAGCAAATAGTGCAACAATTGAAGTATAACATTCCTCAACATAAAACAGCAAAGAACTTTTGCTTTTCATCATCTACAGTACATAATAACATTAAAGGATTCAGAGAATCTGGAGAAATCTCTGTATGTAAGGGACAAGGCCAAGTAACAGTACTTGCTGGCTGTGATCTTTGGGCCCTCAGGTGGCACTGCATTTAAAACAGACATGATTCTGTAGTGAAAATCACTGCATGGACACTTCTGAAAACCACTGTCTGTGAACACAGTTCGTCAATGCATCCACAAATGCAAGTTAAAACTCTAAAACGCAAAGAAGAAACCAAATATAAACAGGATCCAGAAACGCTGCCACCTTCTCTGGGCCTGGGCTCATTTAAAATGGACTGAGGGGAGTGGAAAAGTGTCCTGTGGTCTGACAAAGCAACATTTAAAATTCTTTTTGGAAATAATGGACACTGTGTCCTCCGGGCTAAAGACCACTCAGCTTGTTATCAGTGCACAGTTCAAAAGCCAGTATCCATGATGGTATAGGGGTGCATTAGTGCATATGGCATCTGTGAAGGCACCATTAATGCTGAACGATATAGATACATGTTTTGGCAACATATGCTGCCATCCAGATGACGTCTTTTTCAGGGAAGGCCTTGATTATTTCAGCAAGACAATGTAAAACCACATTCTGCATGTATTACAACCATTGCTCCATAATAAAAGACTCTGTGTGCTAAACTCACCTGCCTGCAGTCCAGACCTGTCACCATTGAAAACATTTGAAACCTCTTACAGAGTGTTGTTAAAAGAAGAGGTGATGAAACACAGTGGTAAACATGACCTGTTCCAACTTTTTTGGAACGTGTTGTTGGCATCAAATTCAAAATGGGCATATCTTTTTAAAAAAAAACAATAAAATTTCTCAGTTTCAACATATGTTGTCTTTGTAGTGATATCAATGGCCAATGTAATGGACTGTTATCAACAAAGACTGTAAATTATTTTCCCATATAATATGCTATGAGTCACACTACATCAGTATAAAACATGGAGTATTTTGGGAAAACGGCCTTGGTGAAAGGAAACAACTAACACCTACAAGCAAAGGTTACATAAACATAGGTCACATTATAGACATTAATGCTACAAAAAATAAAAAACATAATTGTTCTCATGCAAATTGCAACTAGTTTGTACATCATAAAAGATGCACTGGTTATAATTTAAAAGATTGGTTGGGAACATTTCAGGAAACAAGCAGCAACTATGATGAAGGTGAAGGAGCTTCCTAAAGTTCTCAGAGACAACATTCTTAAGCGACACTCAAATGGAAAAAGCTGCAGAGCCCTAGCAATGACCTCAAGCATCCCTGTCAGTAGAACCCCTTTGATAATATGTAGTGGAAAGTTCATGGAACCACAATTAACGCTTCCCAGACAGGTGCTCAGGAGATTAATAATAAAGAAGGTGAGAGAGGAGCCAGCGGTCACTTGAAAAGAGCTGCAGGACGGCCTGAAAGCAGCAGGAACAGCACTTATACTGAAAACAATATGACCTGCACCGCAGTCATCTCTGTTCCTATACCCCACGCAAAACTTCTCCTCTAAAAAAGCATGTCTAAAATTTGGCAATAATTCAGCTCATCATATTTGGAGAAAGAAGAGTTGTGCATATAATCCCAAGAACACCCACAGTGAAGCATGATGGTGGTAGCGTCAAGATATGGAGCTGCTTCTCAGTAAACAGTAGTGGAGCATTGCACACCATCGAATGAAACATGGAAGGGGCGATGTATATTACATAGCAAAAACAAAAATACTTCTTTTCCCTCAATGTAAATTATTAAAATGTAAATAAAGTTATTGAGGTTGGTTTGGTGTGAAGTCATCTGTTATAGAGAAACTTATCAAGTGAGAACACAGTGGTGGTGAAGAGTTAAATGCCTCTAAACATTCCCTCACAGAAAAATGGTTAAGAATACACTGCCGTATGCCTGAGACATAGTTTTGAAATAAGCTTTAGGCCTAAAATGTATTTTGAAAGTCAAAAATAACATATGCTTTCAGATTTAGTCAGGGCAGTCGTGGGCTGGAGGTTCGGGAACCAGCCCTGTGACTGGAAGGTCGCCGATTCGATCCCCTGAGCCGACAGTACATGACTAAAGTGCCCTTGAGCAAGACACCTAACCCCCAACTGTTCCCCAGGCGCTGTGGATAGGGCTGCCCACCGCTCCAGGCAAGTGTGCTCACTGACCCCTAGTGTGTGTGTGTTCACTAGTGTGTATGCGTTGTTTAACTGCACGGATGGGTTAAAATGCGGAGATGGAACTGTGGGACTAATATGGGTCACTTAATAATAACAACAATTTAGTTAACTGTTACTATTAGCATTACTACTATACTATTACCACTACTGTTGTCAACATTACAAATAAAAACTAAAGAAAATAGCTATAATTGTGTTGTAGACATTGTGACCCCCGGTTCCTATCATGACCACTATAAAGAAAAGAGTCTGTATGTTTCTCTACAAAGAACTATTTCACATCAAACCGCTCTGAATGACTTTGTTTACATCTCAACTGTTGAATTACATCAACATCTAAAAATCCGTGGAATTCTCCTTTTTGAAATTGTTGATTCCACACTTTTGGTCCACAGTGTGTGTGTGTGTGTGTGTGTGTGTGTGTGTGTATTTCGAGTCTGCACACAACAGAGACGGAGAAAAACAAAAAGGGGTAGAAAGAGGAAGAGAGAGAGAGAGAGAAAGGGTGAGGTGTTGTGGAATGACGTAATGACAGTGCGCTTGATGTGGTCAGTGCGGAGACTCACTGGTCTTTATCTAGAACACAGAAGGAATCCAGGAAAGGGAAGTTAGCCGCTATGCTCTCAAAGTCCTCCTGGGAGATGTAGCCGTCATGGTCGTGATCGTAGTTACGGAACACAGACTTCACATGAGAAAAGAGGAAAGACAGAAATTCCACTTAATCAAACAGAGACTCTCCTAAACCGAAGGGAACTGGGCTCACATTCATTCATGAGAAAGGATTTCTGATGTTTTAGGAGGTATTCTGCTTCATGTAAGGTCATTATACGCAAAAGTTCACTGTAATATAATGATGAATCATTTCGGGGAAAAAATTGCCCTGTGCTGTGGTTTTCGCTTATCAGCCAATCAAATGTCAACTGATCACCTTTACTTGGCCTCTTAAGGAAGCTGTTGAAACTTAGATGTGAGTTTGATTACATTCATAGGAACTTACAGTGACGCTTCGGCCAAAACAAGAAATGAGATCATCGCTACATGTGTTGGACGTGCTCGCCGGCCTCTTACAGTTGCGCCACAACAGTGTGAGATTTTCAGGTTTAAAGACTAGAAAAAAACATATCTGCTGATGTATCTCGAAGGTGTGAAGTTGTTTGACCTCTTATTGACCAGGGTATATTTTGGTTTGTCCATCTGAATTTAGATGACCAAATTGTAAGGCAAATTATTCAGTAACTGCATGAAATAAATGTAAACTTTTCTTTTATTTATTTAGTTTTTGTAAAAGCTCCCCTCAAATGAACAGAACATGTGTTTTATGATCACACATATTGCTATATGCTTACAATTTACTGCTGAAAGCCAAAAATCTTAGACGCTCTTTGTATTATTTTATAAAAATAATTTCTACAGAGCAGATCACTGAAGAGACGTCATCTGTTTATAGTTTATAGCCCAGATTGGTGGATAAATGGGTCGACTTTCAGTAGAAAAAAAAATTGTGAGTTCAGCTTCTTTTATTATAAGGGTTTAAAATTACATCACCATCTATTTGACTGGAAAGAAGACAGTTACAGCTCTCATACGACCCCCACCTTTTGAATGTAGCTTATGAAATATGAAAGTTATAAAGAATATGACGAAGTGTGTTTTGGGACCACCGGTGGTCCCAAGGAGTTGAAAAGGTTAAAAGGTGTTGTTTCCAGCTAGCTGGCTAATGCAGAGAGATGTCAGACAGCTAATGTTACTGCTAGGAAGCCAAATACCTCATTCATATTATCCACTACATCAGACTTTCTTTATCATCCTCATAGGGAGGATCTGATGACTGTATGGCATATTTGCCTAATGCATTCTGGGCATTGTAGTGACAACTCTATCAAAGTAATGAGTCTGAGGGATGCAGTGAGCTAAAACCACAGAACATAAATAACATTAAATGCTAGTTTTAGGCTGGAATGCTCATTTAATCTAAAAATATGCTAATATGGCTAAAGATGAATGAAAGCTGATTTGGACTGTTTTGAAAGAGTTCATTTACATAATTCTATTTAGCACTTGTTAGCCTTCATTAGCACTTTGGCTAACCTTTTGCTCTAATGCTAAAGCGCTGTATCCACATATTATAAATCAAAGATAATTGAACTGTCAAAATAAAACTTTTCTTACATCTACCACTTTCCTGATGTGTTTGTTGACGACAGAAGGGTCCGGCTTGGTGGTCACTCCTGAGGCCCAGTCAAGAGGAGCCTGTGCTTTGTTGGGGGTTGTAGGAGACGTGGGCTGTGAGAGACAATAAGATTAGCCTAAAATCAACAAAAAATAGCTCTACTTCAGACTGTGCAGTTCTGTAGACACATGTTCGTCTGTTTGTTTGTTTGTTTATGGTATTTTCTATGTTTGGTACAGTAATTATATTGATTATATATGATTATGATTATACATTATAGCAGTTTTTGCTTTTTGTTAATCAGCATGCAAACATATCAGTTTGTTAAACGCCACCAGAGCCAGTTTATAAGGATCCTGGTCTCTTCCTATTTCCTCCGTTATATATAAAATAGGGCTGCAAAACAGCAGAGGGCGCCCGCGAGTGAGTACCCAATGAACGGGAGTAAATGGAGCTAAACGGCTAAAAAGGAAAAGTTAAAATAGTTTCTAATCACTGAACCAGAACGTTTCTTTAATTTTAGAAAGTAGAAGGATGGATTTCACTAAAAAAACAAAGAAAACTCTGTATGTTTCCGTTTTTCTACAGCAAACGGGTTTTGGGCAGCAGGACACTAACATTACTGCTACTGAGTGCTGATCGTTTGGTGAGCGGAGCAGCTCATTGGCTGTTCGCGCTCACAGACGTCATGGACAAACATGAGGCACTGTTTTAAACTCCTATATTTCGAGTTTAAAAGCTCTCAAAATATAACAGCAGTGTTAAAATGTTTTATGCTGCTCTGTGTTCAGGAAATGATTGTATTATTTTAGATTAAAAATGTTTAAGCATTGATAAACTATGATTTTGCTCAAATTCTCCATATCAACCCATTCATTTTGGACTCGCTCAGGAGCGCCCTCTAGCATTTAATAAACCCAGAAGACATTACAGAGTGGAATTCTCCTCTCTACAAGTTCTCTGATGCCACTATGTAGGTTCTGGAGATGTGGACCTGGTGGAAATCTGTAATTGCATGCAATATATGGAAAAACATTTTGCAAAATGGGTTGTGCTGACAGTCCCTCCCCCAAGCGGATGAATCGCCATGATTGTGAGTGCATTGAAAAAGAATTCAAAGAGAATCTTGGTGAGGGATGTGTCTTCTGAGGATGTGTGTGAATGATCTACTAGTGTCATCATGTGTTCATTGTATAATGTTGATTTTGCAATGGAGACATTGACCTAAAACATTTAAAACAAAATGTCACAATTCTCATATATTATTAATTATTAATGGAAATTGCATTGTTGTGTACTCGATTTTATACACCTGTTAGCAATAGGTGTGGCTGGAATAGCTGAATTCAATAATTAGGAGGGGCTGTCCACATACTTTTGGCCACATAGTGGCCTTTTATTAACTGAAAACCATAGTGGAATTATCACTACCAAATAACCTGGGCAAAATCCAGTTGTTACATCAGTGTTATTCCATAATTCAATGTGGGCTGGGTTTCCAAAATGCCTCAGCACATCTAACTCAGTACTGATGGTGCCTACAAAGTGTGAACTGGATATTAAGTTGTCCCATCAACGACTCTGTTATCCACAGTGATACAGTTTAGTGTCCACTGTGAAGACACTTTAGACTCACCAGAGACTTGGGGTTGCGTGGCTCTCGTAGCAAAGACAGCTCATAAATCTCATCTTCTGTGTAGTAGAGATCCAGAGAAAGCTACAGACAGGGATAAAGGCAGTTAAAGACGCCCCCCATAGTCATATAAAACATCAGGCCCACGTCATACAGCTAAAACTTCCAACAGTAAGTATAGTAGATGTTCCCAAAGTTCTCACTGACATTATCTTCCCCTTCAAAGACACTAACATTCCCACAAGCAACTACCCAAACTCACCTCAGCTGCCTTCACATTTCTTTCTCATGTGCATCTAAAATGGCTAAAGGCAGTGGTGGACGAAGTACACAAACCATGTACTTGAGTTAAAGCAGAGAGACCCAAGGTAAAATATTACTCCAGTAAAAGTAGAAGTTCCTCCCTTTAGACCTCCACTTGAGTAAAAGTACAGAAGTATTCACTTCAAATGTACTTAAGTATAAAAAGTAAAAGTACTAAAAGACTAATTATGGCTCTGATGTCCTATTATCATTTTTGTAATAAGACTCGCTTCATTAACTCATTTTAGGTGAAAATACTCCAGTGTCTCTCTTGGTAAACCAGTCTTTTAATAGAATGTCATTAATTAGTGACACTGATGTCTATTAAAATTATCATAAGCACAAAACACTGAAGGCAAACAGTTTCCATCAGGTAGAACTGAGTGGCTCTGAAATCACTTTTTACAAACAAGCAAAGTTTCAGTTTAAGATTTATTTGAGCTTAGTTACAGTTTAAGTTTAATAAAAACTGTTTTAAACTCAGATTCACAAATGAGTTTCCTTTACTAAACTGCATCTGTAGGTCTCTGATCATAAACATAAACCAGCCAAAACAAATTTACTATAAAATGAAAGTGTTTGTATAAATTCAGAATAAAGACACGTCAGTCACAACTGCATATGTGTACATATTTCTATATTGTGGTCTGTTTACACAAAGTTAGGTTAGTTCATCATTTATGTTGAATAGACTCTCCCAAAATTTTACGCTGCTGCACTGATGTTGAACCGTGTGCTGCACTGGGTCGGTATGACCAACAGGTCAAAACAAGGTCAAAACAAAGTGACCGCTGTGCCCTGATTGGTGTTCTTACTTTGCGCTTCTTTCGTTTTGACATGTTACGTTTTATGTCACACATAAGAAAAGGAACGACAGATTTCTCATAATGTAGTGGAGTAAAAAGTAAAAAGTCACCCAAAATGGAAAAACGTCAATAAACACACAAAAAACTACTTAAATACAGTAATGAATTACATTTACTTCGTTACTGTCCACCACTGACTAAACTAAATATTTCAGAGGAGATTAGATGTAAGATAATCCACTTGCATAAGGAAGGAATAAATAAAAGGAAAATAAGCAAAGAAGCAGACTGGATCTAGAGAAAAAGGGACTCCTGAGAACTGTGGAAGGCCTGCTAGACCTCCAAAACTCTCAAGCTTTCATCTTTGAAAGAGAGGAGAAAATCAAGCTCCAGTCTTGCTTCAAATCTGGAAAAATCCACTGGTGTTTCTGTCCAGCATTCATAAAGCTAGGCATCACCGTGATCAGGGAGCTTTACTAGCCTGTCCCACTTCAACATCAAACATTTTGAAAGTAAAGCAGGCGTGTAGAGGACATACTGACCGTGAGCAGGTAGATGAGGTCCATGTTGGGCTCCACCTGCGCTGCCATGCTCTGCAGTGCCACCAGCTCGCTGAAGGTGAGGTAGAGCTGCTGCATCTTCACAATGTTCACCTTACTGTCCTCCACCCAGTCAGGGAAGACCACATGCACGGCGATCAGGTCCTTCAGGTGCACGCCCAGGATGGGGATTTTAAAGCCTTCACACTCGCTGTAGGCCTTGCGGTAGGCACAGTAGTTGCCATTCGACGAGACCAGCTCTGTCATCTCACTCCAAATCTGTTCGAGAGGAGAAGAGAGGGGTCAGAGAATACAGGATAAAATAGCAAACTAAGAACAGACACCAAAAAATACTACAGTACAGTCATATACAAAAAGTTTGAACACCCCTGGTTAAAATACATGTTGATTTGAAGTGAAAATGAATTAACACATCTTCATTTTTCTGCACATTTTAGTGCTAATAATTTCTATTTATTTGCTGAGATTAAAGCTGCACTATGTAAGACTTTTGTTAAAACTGAGAGTCAGGAGTACATTCACCCTGTAAAGCCTGAAATAATTTTTTTTCGGACCACGTCACACGTCTTTAAGTATTAAGATCATATGCACAGCCTTGAAAAGAAGATCCAGCAGGATGTTTAGGTCTCAAATTCAAAATCAACATTTTACTGATGAAGATATCCTCGGAAAGCATTGTTCGCCAAGTTGTGACTGAGTTCCCTTGGAATGCTCTTTCAACTCGATTGCAATTCATCCACTCGGGGAAGGGGCAATGCGTAATTGTGTGCAGTCACACATTTCCACCAGAGAGGTGGATCTTACATAGTGTAGCTTTAACATTTTGGAAAAAAAAACCCACAAAATATAAAATGTGCCGTAACTTTCGCACTGTCAACATTTTATGCTGTATTTCGTTTTATTGTTTTATCACTATGTGAATTAACTTGTTTTCACTTACAAAAAAAGCAACGAAACATGTCATTTGAATGAATGGACCAACAGAAATTGTGCAATGTTCAGACAATGTTAAAAGCAGCTGACATTTTCAAATAATGTAAAAAAGAAAAAAAAACAGTGAAGAAATTTGCACTGAGGTCTTAAAATGACAGTGATAATTTGTCTCTGTCTTTTATCAACAACAAAAAAGCACTGGACACTGACTGGTTACTTTATTAACCCTCTATTGCACAATGTTGCCTCAGGGCAACAAATTCATTTTTCTCACTTTACAGTAACGTTATACATTAAAAGATGACGATAGGGTTAACAATAAATGGAGATGTTTGAGTAAGTCAATAAAAAGCATGTACTTGGTCATAGTATGTCTTATTGGGCACATTTAAACCTCTTTTTTAATGTACAGTATCAATATTTTTTGTTATGAGAATTTGCAGAAATACGTTTGTTGCCTAAAAGCAACACTGTATGACAGTGGAATAGATTTAGCCAGTCATAAGCCAGGGCGCACCACTTCAGGGAACACGGCTCTATATCATTTCCTCCCATTGTTGCACAATGTTGCCTCAAGGCAACATACTCCAAAAAGACCCCTGCGTACATTATTATTATTTTTTTATGTTATGTTTTTTTATGTTAAAAAATAAATCAAGGATAATTGTATGCAAGTAAAGTGAAATGAACATATCTTTTAATTGCTCTCATAATGCATGCAGTAGAGGGTTAAGAACCACCATCTTGTACTTCCACACACTTTTAACTTCATGAGCTTTTTCTGTCTTAAAGGTTCAGTATATACTAGTGGAGTCCAAACACACATTAGGTCAAATTATTATTATTTTTGTTATTATTATTATTCATTTTTAATAATCTGTTTTGCTATTTTATTTTGTAATTAACATAAGGCTGGTAACTGCACTCAAGCTGTATCCAAACTGCTGCTACACCTGTGCTAGCATAATTACACAAGACTCAGTTCCTTCTTAGTTTTAGTGCAGCACTTCATATGATTTATGTTTTTTGAATACGCAACTGATTTTTCAAATTTAAAATGCCTAATATCACATTCATATCAGTAGATCAGTAGCCACCTTTACATGCAGCCTGATAATCCGTTAATAAACCGACTAATAGCTCATATGGAATACGTCCATGTTTACACCTTAGTCGGAATACATTAGAGGCCATTCCGAATACAGTTTATATCTGATTAATGAGGTGGGTAATCCTGTAAATAATCAGCTGAATAGAAGAATGGTAGTTATGTGAACGCCAGCATCTGATTCCGTTCCTAATCGGAAAGTTTTAAGTATGTTCTGTGCTCGGACAGCCCTGCGATGGACTGGCGACCTGTCCAGGGTGTATCCTGCCTTCTGCCCAATGACAGCTGGGATAGGCTCCAGCACCCCACCGCGACCCAGAAGGATAAGCGGTTTAGATGATGTATGTATGTATGTATGTGCTCGGGCTTTTGCAAGTTTATAATGTTCACCACGGTAGGAGCCACAAGCTGCTCTGGCATGTGAGCAAATGACCGACAGTGGATTTACATGAACAATGGAGCTAATTAAAAACACAAGTGCGGCAACTGAAAACTCAGGTGACGTACTGCCGCTCGTGTCACTCTGAGTGGACCACCAGGGGTCAGCAACCCAAATGTTAAGAGTCATTTTGTCCTTTCCACAAAAATCAACCCCCCCTTGGGGAGCAACATTGTATGTCCATTTTACCATCTTGGCTGTAAATATGTCTCAGTATGTCCGAATGTACTAGTGTAGGATAAAAAATATAATATAAATGAAAACACAGACTTGCTTTGCTCTGGTTTAAGCTTTAGCTCAACTGTAGCTTTTCTCGCATCTCTGGCAGGAAACTTTTCCTTAGTGTTTGACTTTTAGAGGCTGAAGACGCTTCTCATTCGCCAGCTTCTTGTTTGAATTTTCCCATTCCACCTTAAATGTTGCTTGACACCATTTAAGCTGGAATGGGAAAATGCGAAAGAGAAGCTGGCGAATGAAAAGCTGACATCAGCTTTGTGACTTTTTAGTGTTCGATAGTTTCTCACTGCAGGTTATAAATCCAAATAAGTCTGTTCATCTCCAAATTATTGATGTTGGTCTTATATTTTTTGCTAGCTAGGCAAGACTTTTATCTGCATTGCTGTGTGACCAGCAGTCTGCACACAAATCTTCAGGGTTAAAGGGTGAATTAGCAGTTATACATTAACTCTACATTAATTTTGAAAACTGTGTAAGAACTGTGTGTTATAACCATCAGCAGAACTTTGTTTTACCAGAAAATATGATTATGTTATTTTTACTTAAAAATCTAGTTCAGATATGGAGCTGAGGCAGGGCAGGGCCACATGTTGCTCACCCCTGGTCTAGACCAGAGACACTTTTCCACTGCATGGTAGCTACCTGCTTGACTCGACTCACTTTTGGTATCAGCTACTTCATTTTTTCACTGCAGATATAGCGCCCCCTCAATGTAGCTGGTCATTATAGCGACGCCAAATGAAACTGCTGACACGTGAAGGAGACAAATTTAGTCCAGAAGAGGCTGATGGCGGCAGAACAAAAGACTGCTGACAATAAAGAAGAGTTTGGGAAATCCTACATCAGAGTTCAGACGACAAGATGATTCTGGTTGCTCAAAAAAAGCAATGCAAGAGGGTAGCGAACGTTAGCATATGTGTTTAGTGATTCTCTCTCAGACCAATCAGTAGTCTGTAGTTTTTACGGCACCTTTTCATTTCGGCTTAGCTTGCTTGGAATCTCGACGGTGATGGTACCAACTTGAATTAAAACCAAAAAAGGCAAGTGGAGTCGAGTCGAGTCGAGTCGAGTCGAGCCGGTACCATGCAGTGGAAAAGCGCCTTATAAGTGGTACTCTACACATGCGCATAATTGGTGAAATCTTTCCATGTAAACACAGCCAGGGGAATTCTTGATCATCATAGGGAAGATTCCCAGTGGTCGTGTGACATATTTGTGTAATGCATGCTGAGTATTGTAGTGCCCATTCTGTCTGAGCACTGTGATAATATCACACAGCATGACAAAAAAAAGTTCTAGGCTGAAATGTCCATTTAATCCAAAGAATGCTAACATGGCTAATGATGAACGAAAGCTAGTGTGAACTGTTTTATTAAAATATCTCCATAATTAAGTTAATATGCTCCGTTCTGGAGAGTAAGAATTGTTCAGAGTCAGGCTGATAGGAACCAGAAGAGTTTAATACCCCTAAAAGTTGCCTTGTGTATATATATATATATATATACACTTCGTATCTCCAAAATGGTAACTTTACAGGAGAAGAAAAAACAGGCTTTACTTTTAATGGAAGTCAATGGAACCAGACTTTTTTCCAAGCAATTTTGGGCCGTTTCTTTTGGTCCATTCATTATGAAATTTACACACCATATGTAGGGCAACAGGCATTTTCAAATTACGTAAAAAGCTGAAAAATAACAAAAATGGAGATACAAGGTTTTCTTCAGCGATATGGTGAAGAGGTATATGCAGGGTGTTATAGGGAAAAATAGTCCCATAAACTTATCTTTTACTACTATTAACATTGCATATAAAAACTCAGGTTTACTTGTAGGTTCACTGGTGGTTTTGGATAGTAAATAAAATGTCTATATTTGTGTTGTGGACGTTGCAACCTCTGGTTCCTATCACCACCACTGTAAGGAAATCAAAGTCTGTATGTTTCTTTAGAGTGAACCACTTCACATCACACTCTGATTGAGTGTGCTTATATCCCAACCATTCAATTATGCATAATTTTTTTTACAAAAATGGCAGAATTCCCTTTTTATAACAGTGCTATTTATGTTACAACTTTGGCTAACAGAAAGTACTGGAAATGTGTTAGTCTGTTCTGTGTATTCATTTAGTCCACAGTGTGAGCGTGGGTTTGAATACTAATAGAAAAAGAATTTAGTCCAAAAAAGTGTCAGAAGGGTCAGAAACTGACCGTTGATGATGGAAGGATTAAGGATGGCTAACACAAATTGTGCATCAGTAGATGAGCTAAAACCAGCAAGGCAGAGCTAGGCAGGGGTTCCTAAAAAAGTGTCAGGAATGGTGTGTGTTGGTGTGTTTATAAATGGTAAACAGTGTAATCTACAGGGTTTCAGCATTGTGGGGCAGTCGTGGGCTGGAGGTTAGGGAACCCCTGAGCCTTGAGCAAGGCACCTAACCCCCAGCTGCTCCCTGGGCGCCGTGGATAGGGCTGCACACTGCTCCGGGCAAGTGTGCTCACCGCCCCCTAGTGAGTGTCTTCACTAGTGTGTATGTGGTGTTTCACTGCACGGATGGGTTAGATTGCAGAGGTGAAATTTCCCCATTGTGGGACTAATAAGGGTCACTTAATCTAATCTAAATTAGCAGCATTAGCAGTAATGGAATGAAGGCAGTGGGTGAGGAATGACTTCGCTGGCAGGACCGAGCTGTGCAGTTATCTCCAGTGTGGAAATGGCTGATAACTGGCTGATAAAGCAGTTATCAATGTACCAAATTTAGAGGAGTTATCAGTGCTGGAGCTGCTGCACGTTCAGCAGGTGGTTCAGTTTAGTTAATGTTTGAGGGCCGGTCAGCTGTTACCTTGGTGACGTCAGGGCTGAGGTGGGAGTGAGTTTCCTTCAGTCGAGAGATGGAGCTGTGGCTCAAACCCCCGACCACCGCCATCAGAGTGTTGAAGTTCTGCAGGTGGAGCAGTTTCTGTGCGAGAGAGAGAGAGAGAGAGAGAGAGAGAGAGAGAGAGAGAGAGAGAGAGAGATTAATGAACAATGGAAAGAGAGGGGAATACACAGATAAAAATATGGGCAATATGGGAGAGAGGGAGAGGTAATAACAGAACGGGGTTCAGAGAGAGAGAGAATGAAGAGAGAGAGAAAGAAGAGAGGGGGAAGAGGTAAAGACAGAAAGGGTAGGGAGAGTGATGGGGAAAGAGAGAGAGAGAGAGGGAGAGGTAAAGACAATGGGGTAGAGAGAGAGAATGAAGAGAGAGAAGGAAGAGAGGGGGAAGAGTTAAAGACAGAAGGGGTAGGGAGAGTGATGAAGAAAGAGAGAGAGGGAGAGGGAGAGGTAAAGACAGAATTTGGGTAGAGAGAGAGAGATGGAGAATGAACAGAGAGAGAAAGAGCAGATACAGAGAGAAAGAGAGAGAGAATAATGAACAATGGAAAAAGAGGAACAGGCAGATAGAATAGAGAAATATGAGCAAGGGAAAAAGAGAAATGAAAAGAGAAAGACGGGAGGAGTAGAAAGAGAGAAATGAGAAAGATGGACAATGAGAGAGAGACATGAGAGGTCAAGACAGAAGGGGTAGAGAGAGATGGTGAATGAGGTGAGAAAGAGAGAGGGAGGAGTAAAGACAGAAGGGGTAGAGAGAGAGGGGGGAGAGAGAGAGAGAGGTAAAGACAGAGGGGGTAGAGTGAGAGAGAAAGAGAGAGAGAGAGGTAAAGACAGAAGGGGTAGAGAGAGAGGTAAAGACAGAAAGGGGAGAGAGAGACAGAGAGACACAGAGAGAGAGGTAAAGACAGAGGGGTAGAGAGAGGTAAAGACAGAAGGGGTAGAGAGAGAGAGTGAGAGAGAGGGAGAGAGAGAGAGGTAAAGACAAGGGGTAGAGAGAGAGAGAGGTAAAGACAGAAAGGGTAGAGAGAGAGAGAGAGAGAGAGAGAGTAAGAGAGAGAGACAGAGAGAGACAGAGAGAGAGAGGTAAAGACAGAGGGGTAGAGAGAGGTAAAGACAGAAGGGGTAGAGAGAGAGAGAGAGAGAGAGAAAGAGAGAGAGGTAAAGACAGAGGGGTAGAGAGAGGTAAAGACAGAAGGGGTAGAGAGAGAGAGAGAGAGGTAAAGACAGAAGGGGTAGAGAGAGAGAGAGAGAGAGAGAGAGAGGTAAAGACGGGGTAGAGAGAGAGAGAGAGAGAGAGAGAGACAGAGAGAGAGAGGCAGAATGTAGAGAGAGAAGTAAATGCAGTAAGACAGGCACACAGACAGGAAGAGTTTGAGAGAGAGAGAGAGAGAGAGAGAGAGCGAGAGAGAAACAAAGCCACATGAAACGACTCCCACAATGCACCTCCACAAATGTTTTGCTGCACTGAAAAAGAAACAGAAATCTCTCGCCGCGCTGCTGCTTTACATCCGAGCCATTAGCTCTGCACTGATTCTGCTGCATTCAGCGGGTGCATTAACTGCGCTGAGTGCTGTCTGGGATCACAACACAGCAGCCCTGCTTTGTTACAGCGGCTCAGAGACTCAATAGCTCCTCACTTAATGCCTATTAGGGGCTGCATTAGGCTCAGGGAGGAGGAAGGAGGGGCTGCCTCGCATGTACAGTACCGCACAGAGGCCCCTTAATTAGGCAAGGGGGCAAAAGAAATTGTCTTACCCAGTGATCAGCTGGCTGTATAGACCTATCTGCTTTTATACCCCATCATTACACAACAGCTGTGCTTCTTACATAGATAGATAGATAGACTCTTTACAGTGGTGGTGATAGGAACCAGGGGTCACAATATTTAGTTTTAGGCTGAAATGCCCATTTAATATGTTGTATGATGCCTGAGATACTGTTGTATGATAGTCTTGAGATAAACAGAATGTCTATATTTGTGTTGTGGACGTTGCGACCCCTGGTTCCTATCAGCACCACTGTAAGGAAATCGAAAGTCTGTATGTTTCTCTAGAGTGAACCCACTTCACATCACACCACTCTGGATGATTTAAACACATTTATTTTAGGCTAAATTCTTTCCACAAAGCTATCATAAAACTTTTTGTGGTGCGTGAGATGGTTTTAGACATCCGGCAGTGTATTCATAACCATTTCATATAATAATTCTCAGTGATCTGGCTTTTAAAGGAACTATATGCTTTAGATGTCTGGTTTCTAAAGAAGCTCTAAAGGGCCGTGGGATTCGCTACTCTGTGATAACCTGTTATTTTCATTTGTCTCCTCGAGACATCATGGCGTTTATCATTATCACAGCAAAAAAATCTCAAGATCTCGAGTTATCTTATTAACACAACATAACAGACATAAATAACTCAAGATCTCAAGAAAACACCAGGTTTGCTGTGATTATGACACAAATATCACAAGTAGCACCAAGGAAACCTAAAACTCCCTCCCCCGTGATAAAATCACAGGAACACCCAGCCTCTCGGGGCTTATTGCATTAATAAAACGGCGGCCAACGTAAAATATATTAAAATGCACAATATTTTAGATAATTATTTAAGTTATTATTAATAATAATCGACATAAACAAGTATTCCGCCAAGAAATGTAGTTCCTTTAGAGTACGGTATCGTTGCTAAGCAAGAGAAGAATGTTCGGTTGCCGATCACTGTAAACTGCAGACATTTCATGATTTTTAAAACTTTTGTCGTATAACAGTGAAAATATGATAACACAGCACTGTTTAATGCAAAACCTTCAGTTTATAAGTACTCTTTGGTCACCAAATCACCACCGTGAGTCTTCTGCCAGTCTGACGACGCCACTTTTCTCACGCTGGGGCTGAATCTCAAACGGCTCTCATAGTGCACTACGTAGGAGTTTAAATACTGACTCCTGCAGCCCAACAATGCAAAATACCACTAAAAATGGTCATTCGGGATTCATCCACATTCATACTCGACAGGCAGTCACTATTCGACAGCAGAAGCTAGAATTTCTAAACTTAATGTCACACAGCTCACTATTTAGCTAGGGAGTACGGAGCCGTTTGGGATTCAGTCTGGGTTTGACATGACTTCTGACCGAAACACGGACATTTGAAGCGTGTAGGACATTCAGGTGACATTCTTTAGAGTTTTATGTCGCTGTTTTTCAGTGAATCATATCGTGAGTACTTTAATTCAAACCTTGAGTTGTTTAGCTATCTTTTAGCCAGTTGGCTAGCTGACCAGCCCAGTTGTATCGAAGAAAATAAGTTGTCAGCCCTTCAGTTTAAACAAAAACAGGTTCTTACTTCATCAATATACTCAGTGCTCCGATCAGCATTAGAGTCAAAGATTATTCCATTAACAGCAGAAGGGTTTTTCGTGCCACGGCACAGTAATACAGAGTTCACAGCCATGGTATATCCTGGATTTTATAACGGCTTCAAATGCGGATCAGCCAATCAGATTTAGGGCCAGAACTATCCATTTCATAATGTGTCTTATACTTGATTTTGTGATTGTTAAAACAATATCATTTGAACATTTAACTCATTTGTACTTGTCACTTGTACGAGTCATCTTATCTAGAGAAATTATACACTGAAATAAAGGCAGCTGCCAATAGAAGACCACCCCTCAAGATGAAACAATTAAGCATCGGGAAACATTATAGAACTATTAGAATAATCTTATGTTCTTCTCACCGTCTCATAATAGCTAGATCCAAAAGGTGTTCACTTACCAAGATATTTTTAGCAGGTAAATTTAACTGAATGACTTTGTTTACATCTCAACAACTGAATTATACAGAAACTTTGAAAACTCTTTAAAAAAATTCACCTTTTTGTAAATTACCTGCATCATAGCTGAATAAACAAATGTTAAAGTTACTTTAAAATAAAAATTTTGAAATGAACTTTTTTAGCCAACTGTGTCTGAGCACATCGGAATTAGTCCTCTGCATTTAACCCATCCATGCAGTGAAACACCACACACACTAGGGGGCAGTGAGCACACTTGCCCGGAGTGGTGGGCAGCCCTATCCATGGCCCCCAGTGAGCAGTTGGGGGTTAGGTGCCTTGCTCAAGGGCACTTCAGTCACATACTGTCAGCTGAGGGGATCAAACCAGCAACCTTCCGGTCACAAGGCTGGTTCCCTAACCTCCAGCCCATGACTGCCCTACTTGACCCCTGCTACATAATGTTGCCATAAACATGTCATGGAAGATTTCATATTGAAACTCTGCCACAACACTTGCAAGTATCTCAACTTCATGGAACAAGTCTAATGACACAGCCTACCAGAACGGCATTCTGTTTCATAAAACATGTTTCACGAAATTGCAACTGTTGCAGGGTGAGTTTCGAGTGAGTTGCAGGATGCTTTACATTATGCAACTCAAGCGCAATTTAGTTTCATGTAGATTTCAAGCAACTAAAGTTGAATGAAACTTTCACTGTGTAAAGCCAGCCCAAGGTAATGATGTTATCACTGAAGTGCTGTTTTTATGGTCTTAGCCAGACCCTTTCAGCATCAAGCTGGGGCGGACAAGCTTTTGATACAAAGACCAACAGAAAATGGAACACATTTGATGCTTTATTGACTGCGCAATCTGAACATCTCATTCTGCTGTGAGATCCACATCGTTCCAGTGTGTACAGTTTGAACGGTGGGCTACTCAGCAGGAGAAATGCAAAGCTGAGGGGTGAGTGGCACCGGTTCTCCATCAGTGCAGAGCACACCTACGTCCACATCTCCCTCTCCCACGGCTGCCTTTTGGATATCGCTCTTGTCTGGTACATTGTCTTTGTGTGCGTGTACAAAATTAGCATATCAAAGAGGCTGTAAATGTCATCATTCTTCATCTGAGTGCTGGAGCTCTCGGCAAGCTTTCGGAGCGCTGAGGGCCTGCGGGTGCTGCGTTTAGAGGCTAGTGGGCTACAGTTGCATAATCAAGGGGACAGCTTAAAACACAGGCTGTGTTTGCCTTTCTCGGTGTTTCAGTGTCAGCGTCCCAAGTTTTTGCATGTGTTTGTATGTTAAATATGACTAACTGCAGTTTGTAAAATAGTTATAATTTTAATTTTAGTTCATTTTTCCTTTACCCCAAAATCTAGTCAATCAGGCAAAAAGGACAAAAGCAAAAGAACATTACATAGCAGAAACAGTAGTAGTGGTAGTGGCTTCCATTGTTTATTAGCTATAATAGCCTCTTGGCTCCAACACAAACCTAGCAAACTTTAGACACCAAACTATCAGCTGATCAACTGCATTTGCGTTAAGGAGATAACTGAGTATATTTGACTGGTATTGCTTTAACACAGCATGCTTAACTACTCAATGATGACCACAAAATGACCAAACCGAGTGCACCATGCTTTCACACCAACTGTGGATGTACAAACCCAACTCCCAAAAAGTTGGAACAGTAAGTCAAACACAGATGAAAACAGAAAGCAGTGATTTGTAAATCCACTTTTACCTGTATTTAAACAAAAGCAGTACAAATACAAGATATTTAATGTTTCATCTTATCAGCTTTATTGGTTTTTGTAAATATACACTCGTATGCAATTTAGTTTCATGTAGGTTTCAAGCAACTAAAGTTGCATGAAAGTTTCACCATGTAAAGCCAGCCTAAGGCAATGATGTATGAGCTTTTTAGACAGAGGGTGAATAATGAATAGTATAGTATGAGAAAAATAATGAGTTTTTGGAAGCTGTGAATCTTTTCTAGTAGACTTCAAAAATAAAATTGTGAACATTAAAAATGCATAATAGGTCCCCTTAAAGGAAAGGTGATGTCACACAGTGGTAAACATGCTCCTGTCCCAATACTTTTAGGAACATGTTGCAGGCGTCGCATTTGGAATAAGTGTATATTTACAAAAAACAATCCAGTTCATAAGGTAAAACATCAAATATTGTTGATATATTGTTGATATTTTTCATTACAGGTCAAACAGAATTTACTAATCACTGCTTTCTGTTTTATTAGCATTTCACATACTGTCCCAAATTTTTTGGAACTGGGTTTGTATGAACATCACCACCAATGAACACAATGACTGATGAGAGTGGGATCGTACCTGGGCGACATGGATGAACTTGCTGATGACGTGGGCTCTGTGCTGGGGGGTGAGTTTGCTGAGCACCATCAGCTGCACCCACTGGGACACCCCGTTAAACAGGGCGATGGAGCGCTCCAGCGTGGGGTTATCAACCAAACAGCCATGGACCACATAGCTCTGATAGTCTGTGAACTGAAAACACACAAACGCATGAAACACGAGCCCAAAACTGGGCGTACATGTACCAGTCAAAAGTTTGGATACATAATCACAGAAGGATTTTCCTTATTCTCTCTACACCTTTGATATAATATGAAAGGCATCAAAGCTAGGAAATGACACGTGCAGTCTTATGCAAAAGTGTGTACACCTCCAATCAAATGACATGTTTAGCTGATTTTCTAAGTGAAAATAAGTCAACACATCCTCTACAGACAACACACTGAAATATTTCACAATTTCTATTTATTTGCTTAATAAAAAAAACATAAAATATAAAATTTTTGCACATTTTATTTTTCCTCAATTTGTTAATTCAGCCATTAAACAGTAAGTGTGCATTAACATGTGTGAAGTGTGTTCTCTGTAGAGGATGTGTTCACTTTTTTCACTAAAAAAAAATCAACAAAACATGTAATTTGATCAAAACGTGTTCAAACTTTTGCATATAACTGTACAGAACCAAAAAAGCTAAATAAATCAAAACCATTTTATATTATTTTGGTAAAATAGATGTGCATTAACGACACATGACAATTTTCATGTACGTTTAGCAATCGCCTTGTGTCCAATTCATTCTGCCTCTGACTCCGTCATGTAACCAACCATGTTTTTCTCCCTAATTAAACAGATTTGAAACTTGACAGCACAAACAGCAGATCTGTTTATTTCAACAAGTTTTACCGCTGTGTCAGAGAAGAGTCTCCTGAAAACACTGGGCCTCATTCACGAACCATTCTTAAGACGAAATGTCTTCTTAAAACCCACTTATGCAGTTTACATGAAGATTCTGACCTTCACCAGTGTTTTCTTATCTGGGATTTGTTCTTGGGTAAGAACAGAATCAACGCTCACTCAAGAGCACAAAGGTGAGAACAGTTCTGCGCTTTAAGAACAACAACAACATCACATTTTAAGGCCCTGTCTATTATGATAGGCTGCACTGTATTGTGCTTCATTCAGAAAGCAGTCCAGGCTGAAACCCTCCTTTTAACTTCAGTGTGAGTGGGTGGGGCCACTCTGCTGTAGGCCAAATAGGTGTATATATATATATATATATATATATATATATATATATATATATATATGTATGTATCTGTTCTGTCGGATGACAAAAAAACAACAAAAAATATCTGAAATATTATTGCTTTAGTGTGATTTTCACAATGAGTACTAAGATTCTTTGGATATGTCAACGAGTATTCAAATCCTGCTGTTTATCACAGCCTTAATTTAAAACAAAATTCTAAAAACATTAATTCAAGTCAGGAGGGTCCAAATTTTTGACTGTCCACAAGTAAATGCACACAAACACAGAAATAGCCGTGGAAAGTCTTCGTTAGACATGATAAAGAATATTTGAGGTCAGCTTGGCTGAATTACTGGAAAGTAAAGTTCATAAAGTAAAGTAAAATTCCTTTACAGTAAAGTAAAGTAAAATTCCCTAACATGGAAGAACATTCTAAGCATATGTGGCTTTGCTATGCCTTATGCTTTCATGTCTTAACAATGGCTAAGCATATGTCTGATAAAGCTGATGTGATTCATCTCTCCAATGTTTCTGCAGTCTAGTGACCATTTATCCGTCTGGAAAAAGGAATGTCTGTATTATTTTCTCACTGTTCGGCTCAGCAGCACGAAAGCTGTATGTACGGAAGGCCAACATGTTCAAGCTGTAGCGCTCACGCTGCCGTGTCACTCACGGGTGCCGACACGCTTCAGGCTGACGCAATGTCAGAAACACAGTCCCCCCCAATGTATTTCAGTTAGGACACTGCATTGGCTCTGTCGGATAAACCATTTCAAGTTTTACTGCCAAAAAATTCCGACGTGGAGGAACGTCAACCAATAGAAACGTGGATGGGCGGGCACAGGCGACAACAGATGAAAGTCCAAGATGGAGGACAGACTAATCAGTAGTGACACTCAGTGTGTCCCAATTCAGGGGCTGGATCCTTTGGAGGACATGGCGTGGAGGGAAGGCGTGTCCTTCGAAGGCTGCTTAGACCCGCGAAGGCTGAACTATAATGAGACGGTCTGCCCTACGGCGGATTTTCTGTTTGCGTCGCAGCACCGCTGTTCCCACCCTTACTGCTGCGTCACAAAACACCGCTCTTGTCAAGTTATTTTAAAGTTATTTAAAGATGGAGCCAGAAACTTTGATTTTAGTTGTTTACTTTTTCATTTATTAGAGCTGGAGATGCTTCCCTGCCGGCTACTGATGAGACTGGTTTGTTTTTTGTTTTTCTTTTTTAAAAAGTTAGCCATTCGCCTCAGTTTAAGCCCAAAACTTTTTTTATTTATTTATTATTTAAAAGTGTCTCTTCAGCCGCCGTTCGTTTCTCTGTTGAATCCTCGCCGGAACGCAATGAACCTCGGGATATGTTGGCTGGCGAAGGATCCACCCGTTGGATCCTTCGTTGCCATGGAAAAGAAGGACACATTCGTCGGCCACATATGAAGGAGCCTTCGAAATGGGACAATCTAGTCGCACCACTGTGACACAATCGGCCTTCGAATGCAGCCTCCGAAGGATGCAGCCCCTGAAATGGGACACACTGAACGTGTGCTCTTCGCCTGATCTCTATGACTCTGTATATGGCCATCGCCATGGCCATTTCTTTCAATGGTCCATATTTCTTTTTTTTTTGGTTCTGCTTTTGCTCCCCGCTGGAGTTCGAACTATAGAAACTCCGCCCCTGCTCCAGCCATATCCACGCCTTCTAGACAGACATGATCTGCAACACTCCATCCTTGCGTTGCTTAGTGTGTAGGCACCCTTACCCTGGAGCCTTGTGGTCTAGGGCCCCAATCAGGACCCCTCTAGCATTCAGAGGCTCCTGGGTACCGGCCCCACTGGCTTTCTGAGTACCCCATTCCTGGTTGCAAAGGCCAATCACGATCAACAAACACTATGTTGTGCAGCTGATGTGAGGTTCAGTGAGTCTATGAATGCAAGTACACAGACACGTATCACTCTCTATCTCGGTGTGTTCCAGATGAAAGCCATGCACAGGTGCACCCTTTCCCAGGGGAGCGTGCACGGCTTTCATCTGCAAAGTACCGAGATAGAGAGTGATATGTGTCTGTGTACTTGACATTTTTAGATTCGCTGGAGCTTTTGTTTTTCCACCTGCAGGCTGTGGACTCACTGATATCCTCCTGATGGACTTGTACTCTAGGAAGGTGAGGTGTTCAGCCAACTCGATGGGCTCCAGGTGGTCGAACAGCAGAGAGGCTTTGCCCTTCTTTACTTGCTTCTTGCGCTGCGTTAGCTTCCTCATCCAGTCGTAGGAAGGGCTGTGGAGGTGTCAGAGTTCAAAGTTTAACCATGGGGTGTTGCATAATAATCAGTAGAAACATCTCAAAGTCATTGTCCATTTTATCAGCTCCACTTACTATATAGGTGCACTTTGTAGTTGTACAGTTACAGACTGTAGTCCATCTGTTTCTCTGCATACTTTGTTAGCCTGTTCTTCAGTGGTCAGGACCCCCATGGACCCTCACAGAGCAGGTACTATTTGGGTGGCACTGCAGTAACACTGACATGGTGGTGGTGTGTTAGTGTGTGTTGCGCTGGTCTGAGTAAATCAGACACAGCAGTGCTGCTGGAGTTTTTAAACACCTCAGTGTCACTGCTGGACTAAGAATAGTCCACCAACCAAAAATCGTCCTGTGACCACTGATGAAGGACTACAGGATGACCAACACAAACTGTGCAGCAGCAGATGAGCTATCGTCTCTGACTTTACATCTACAAGGTGGACCGACAAGGTAGGAGTGTCTAATAGAGTGGACAGTGAGTGGACACAGTGTTTAAAAACTCCAGCAGCACTGCTGTGTCTGATCCACTCGCACCAGCGCAACACACACTAACATGCCACCACCACATCAGTGTTACTGCAGTGCTGAGAATGATCCACCACCCAAATAGTACCTGCTCTGTGAGGGTCCATGGGGGGTCCAGACCACTGAAGAACAGGGTAAAAGGGGGCTAACAAAGTATGCAGAGAAACAGATGGACTACAGTCTGTAACTGTAGAACTACAAAGTGCACCTATATAGTAAGTGGAGCTGATAAAATGGACAATGAGCGTAGAAACGAGGTGGTCAGAATTTTATGCTTGATCGATGTATAGTGGATATTATACTGGACAGCATAGTGGACATTTGGACTTACGCGAATAAAATGTTTGAACAAGAATGAACATATTTTTTTCACTTCTTCTGTGTTTACTGATTGTCCAGCTGCATTAAAAAATTTCTGAGCTCTTGGAACTGCCTGGACCTCTGCATACTAAAATATAACATATTTTTCTTCATAATTTTTATATGACAATATTAAACAAAGAGCTTTTGAACACAAAGCATATTCACTGAATTCCCAACTATATCTAAAATGAACAAAGGGTTGAAACCATTGAGGTTATTGATGAAAAAAGTCAGAAAACATTACAAAGGGCATCACATACATATGTAATATTACACAATACATGTATTTGATATGCTAGCACAGTGTTGTAGACAGGAATAACGTTACTGAAACACAGGAAATATTCAATTTTTTGTTTGGGTCTGCTATCCTGATGATAATAAATATATTCATTTTTCAAAATCTTGCAGATTTCCTGTGCCTAATTCCAATGTCTGGTATATTATAAGGTGAAAAACATTGAACAGTTTTAATCCCAAATTCATAGAATAGGATCTACAGTCACTCTTAACCCCTTAACAGGTCAGCGTCTTCCAGCGGGCCCAAAATCTTATTACATACTTCTACGATCTAACAATAGTTAGACCAATTTGCATTGAAATTCCTGTAGTTACTCAATAATAAGCCTTAGTATGTAATAAGCCTGGGGCTTTAAGGGGTTAAATAAACATGAGATTCTACTTTTATTAAAATAAATACAAATCCTGAATGATTGTGTTTTGTAATGCATGACTAAATGCATAATTTACTACAATGACTCCAAATGTCCTACTGGACAATATGATTTATCTTAAAATTTGCATATATATAGAATTAAATATCTACTATTCCCTTTATCAACCTTTACATGAGGGACCTTCTAGAAGGACAAACATACAAAAACATTGCTGAAATAAATACAGGATAGTTTAGAAACACAGAGGCAGTGAGGGTCTATCTCGCCAGCTGCCACAGTGTTTTAGTTTATGACAAGATTAAAACAAGACAATATTCTAATAAATGACCAATAAATACAAAGACTGAGTTCTATAGAAACACTTAAAAGCAAGTGTGGGGCCATACCTGCTTCCAATAACTAGGGGAAAATGTCCAGTATAGTGGATGTTCGCAATGAGGAGGTTATGACTAGGATGTAAAGCTTACAGAGCTGTTTCTGAACGAAAATAGCGCCTGGTCTATTTAGGTGAGGAGCGCCTTCTTCTTCAGCACGAGGATCTTTATCTGTCACTATCAGCTTCAAATTTGTTGCTTGCACAGATTGTTCACTGACTTTACAGCACTTCCCACGATCTGCACTGCTCACATTCACAGTTGCAGGTAGTGCATGCATGTGCAAGTTATGTACAAGAACAGGCACAGATAATCTACATAGAGGAAACGTATGATTTAAATGTTTTGCACATAGTCTTTCTCTTTTAGATACACACAGGGGAAACATGTATTTCAACTCTTTTGTTTTTGTTACTAAATAAACTTCCAGTGCAAATATGCATTCATAAGTATGCATTCTTAAGCACAAACAAAGATTTGAGTTTTATTACACACTTCTATAACCTAAGAATAGCTAAGCCAGTTTGCACTGAGTTTCAGAAAAGGTTCTATATAGAACCATCTACAGCACATTCTCCATCAGTCAGAAGAACCCTTTCATGATGCAAAGAAGCCTTTAATCAATCAAAGGGTTCTTTGAGTGTTCATGGTTCCATATAGAACCATTTTCTTTGCTAAAGAATCCTTGAAGCACCATCTTTCTTAAGTGTGTACCGCTACCATGTGTCAGTGCAGTGCTAAGAATGGTCCACCACCCAAGTAATATCTGGTCAACTAGTCCAAAACTGACCAATAATGAACAAGTTAGAGGGCGGCTGACAACATATGGGCTACAGTCTGTAATTGTAGACTGATACAGTGGACGTTTAAGGGAGGTGGGCTTCAAAAAGTGGCCAGTGAGTGAAAGTACACAAGGGGGTCTTACACTCAACTAATGAGGCTATGAACACTATGGTCCCACTATATAGTGTCTCTAATAACTGTGTAGTTACATGTGAACAACATATGTGGCAACACTGTAACCACTAATGATTTAGTCACTGTTACAGATGGATTACACCTTATGTAATAACACAAGTGTATCTTAATAGTTGTAACAGCCTATTCTCTCTCATGTAATTACACAATGGTAATAACATAAATGCAATTACATTTGTAATCACTGGAACACTGGACAGTTTTTTTCAAGCAGTAAAAGGAAGTATGTAATAACTTACATTAAGACATTACTTACACTGTATCTGCCAGCTTTCCTAACATTAGCTAGCATTTATGTTGCTGGTGCTGTGACACCACTTTCAGCTTTAAACCATTCTGTATATGTGACAGTCCAGCAGAGTCCACTTATATTAACATGTAACTTTTATGACATTAATTAAATGTGTTGCATTACACCCCAAGTAATGTCTATATTACCTCTCCATTATTACACAGTACCTACATAACAACTACACTGTAATCCCGCATTTTGTTTTAACTCAAATAAATTAAGTCTGTTGTACATAAAACTCAGTATATCCCACATATTACTCATCAATTTTAAGTTAAGGAACATTTTTGATGATTTTGTACAGTCAAATGGCATTTCTGAGTTGAACTAACTTATTGCTATTTAGTTTAGTCTGTTGCTATGGCAACTTTGAAACCCTACATTCAAAAAATGATGACATTTCTGTTGGTTTTAATTGTTTCTTTCTCACTAAAGTTGCTGAACAAATGTGTGAAACTGAGTGAAGCTAAGTAAGCTGTAAAATACAGTTACAGTTATATATTTCTTTCCCATTGGCTGCTGGCTCCATCTATTTGCATATTGAGTGTTTCTTTCTATTTGTTTTACTCGCCGTCAGTGTGCTTTCATTCCACCCAGGCTGCCTTTCCTCAGGCATATGTGTTTTATATATGCTTTATGCTGCCTGATGTTGTGTTGTTGGCTAAGAGCGAAAGTTATCGTTCTCTTTGCTGATGAGTGGGCGTTTGTGTCGGTCAGTGACCATGTTCACTGTAAAGGTTAACTCTTCGGTCTTTGTCAAAGCGGTTATTATCACTTAATTAGAAAAAAAATTCTCAATTGCCTAATGAAACCTGGAATTAAATTGCAATTTCAAAATGTTAAATTAAAATAATTAGAATTTATGACTTGCACAAACATGTGTTTATGTTAGCCTAATACAAAAATTATAGTTATTCTAACTTAAGTTTCATTACGCATTATTTAATTTTTTTAAGTAAATTCAACTTATCCGGGCTTACACTGCACTACAGGAACGTTCCTCTGTAGAAGATGCACTTGTGTAATTACATGAGGCAAAACTGAAAGTTCATACACGTGTAATTACATAGGCTGTACTGCTGTAATCCATCTGTAACACCGACTAAATCATCAGTAGTTACAGTGTTGTTGCATATGTTGTTCATGTGTAACTACACAGTTATTAGAGACACTTGATATAAAATGGGACCAACACTATCATACTGAGCTTATTGGAAATGCTGGCTGTCATACATTGTCAGCCGTATTAGCATTCTCTGGATCCTTTTATTGACAATGACATACGCACTAAGCCAGATGGCATGAGGTGATGTTTATTTACTGCTGACTGTTTTTTGTCGTTTGTCATCATTTGTCATTTCGATTGCTCATCAGCAGAGTCATAATTAAACTGTACTTGAGCTCTTAGCTATAATGTGTTGACTTTATGAACCAGACTGATTAGAAATGTGGCCCCCAGGTGCCGGAATGCTCTGAAAATGATCTCATGTAATAGAGTTCAATTAGCAGTCTCTAATGAAGCCCTGTGCTTCTCAGTACAATCGCAATCTACTGTCAGCGGCATCGTTAGCAGTCACTCACAATTAGCCACTAAAAGGGCAGGATCTGCATTCATAATGCATCAACGTCAGTCAGTCGGCGTTATAAACAGCGTTTATTCTAATCAACATAACAGTGATCGTTTCAACTTTATAGGTCAACGATGACTAATTTATTACTTGGTAATCTAATGGTGTGATCATTATGCTAATGCATACAGAGAGAGAGGGAGAGAGAATGGAGAGAGAGAAATGTGCAGAAACTGGACTCACATGGTGGATATGTCGAGCAGTTTGAGGTGTTGGTCACAGCCCAGCTGTGCTGCTACATCTCTGAACTCTTCCGTCAGTCGGATCAGACCCAGATCCAGATCAAACTCAGCAGGGAACTCGACGATCCAGTACCTAAATGCACACAGAGGACCAAAAATCAGTTTCTGTCTTCATAGATTTATAGATTTAAGCCCACACTTTTACTCTCATATTCTCAATGTGCAAAAATCAGAAACTATTGTTGATTTATTTAACGTCCAGCAAAAATGGCCATTTAGTACAATATTCAGGTTTCAGTGTCAGAAAAAATGAAATAAACAAATTGTCGCTGTTGGAACGAAGCAAAGCATAACTAGGGTACGGAGCCCTGCTGGTGAGCCTGTATTAGTAAAAATAATGTGTGGCCATGCCGTATTAACGAGTGGGAATGAGATCCTAATATGTGGCCACAAATTAGTAAGTTGTGGAAACAGGATAATAAGCTTGTGGCCTCGACTTAGTGAGGCATGGGAACAAGTTCATGCCTTATTAAGCTGTGGCCAAGGATTAATTATCTTATTGCCACACATTAGGATCTCATTCCCACGCCTTACTAAGTTGTAGCCATGACTTGACTAAGTCATGGCCATGCATTAGGATCTCATTCCCACGCCTTACTAAGTTGTAGCCACAACTTAATTTTCTTGTTCTCATGCTTTACTAATGGCCAAACATTAGGATCTCGTTCCCATGTCTTACTAAGTTGTAGCCACGACTTGACTATCTCATTCCCCTGCTTTACTTAGTCAAGGCCACACATTGGGATCTCGTTCCCATGCCTTACTAAGTTGTAGCCATGACTTTATTACCTTGTTCCCATGCTTTACTAAGTCATGGCCAAGTATTATCATAATTTATATGGTATTTCACCAGCAGGGCTCTATACTGGTGTTTTCAAATTATGTTAAAAGTGAAAACGATAACAAAAGATATACAAGGTTTTTGCATGACAGCCACAATATATTCAAAACAAAATCACAGAAAACTACCAACAACTACATTCACTGTGTCCACTCTTCGCCGTCATTACAGCTTCCATTCTTTTCAGAAGACTTTGCAGTTTTTCAAGGAAATCTGCAGAGATGATTTTCCCCACCTCCAAAGTTCAGTCTTAGAAGTTGGTTGCACTTCCTGCTTCTCACCATTCAAAGTTTGGGGCTTTGCATTAGTCCTGCGAGACACAAGCAGCTTCTTTGTTTATTGGCAAACTTCTCTCAGTGAGGCTTCTTGCCAGCTATAGATCCTTTTAGACCCGTAGCATTACATTGTCTTCTCACAGTGGAAGGATGGACAGAAACACCTGTGGATGTTTTCAGATCTGAAGCAGCTTGATTTTCCCCTCTGTCTCAAAGAGGAAAGTGCTATGTATGTGATGGGGACAGTTCTGGTGGTCTACAAGGTCTTGCACAGTTGTTAGGCATCCCAATTTCTTGTAATCATTATTTGAACTTTTGGAACCCCCTGTTTTTTTCACAGGGGGCTGCTTTCACTCAGGTATGTCAAACTGGGGACCTTCCAGGCCAAAGTGCTGTGGAGATTAGCATTTACCCTCATCTAAAGCTCTGAATTCAGTCCATGAAGGCCTTGCTAATTAGCTGATGAGCTGAATCAGATGTGTTTAATGAGGCAGTGTGCTGAAGTCTGCAGTATTTTGGCCTGCCCGGGACCTGAGCTTGACACATGTGCCTTGACTTTTCCCTTTTTTATGCAAGTGGATTATTTTATATCTGATCTTGTCAGAAACGTCTCCTGAAAAAATGAATAACTTGTACTTCTTTGCTGATTTGACTGGAAATGAAATGACCAAGGGGTGGTCTCTTACTCCTACTTGCTCTCTTACTGCAATCACATAACTTATATATTACTTTCACAATAGTTACCACATAATTTAGAGTAGTTAGGGGAGAGGGGGCACAACATAATGTGTGGTAAAATGTATAAAAGCCTTGTTATATAATTTTTGCCCCATTTTGTCGCCTCCTCCACCTGTTCCTTTTTCCTCACAAGATCACTTGAGTCCTTGAACGGTCCAGAGGACTCCCACTCCCATGAATCAGTGAAATACCACGAGACTCTTATCCCATCGCCATCAACCAATGAACAATCATTTCAGCGTTCCTCCTCACCAGAATTCCAAGCTGTCACACCTGTTTTCCATTACACTCCATTAGTCAGTTAGTATATAAAGCCCAGCCTTCAGCTTAGTAATTTGTGAAGTATTGCCAACACCTTCGTTGTGTCCTGAGTGGTCTTTGTGTAAGTTCTTTTGTGTATGACCTGTTTTCTGTATTTCTGACCTGCCCTTTTTGGTTCGTTTGCTGGATACTGTCTGAGATTTTGGTTTTCGAACTTGGACTGGTTTTTGGCTACTCTCTGGATGTCTCATTTGTTTTGGTTCTCTTGCTCTCTGGTTCTGACCCTAGCCTGTTCTGACTACGCCCTCTGTACCTCTCTTCACCAAAACCTCAAGTAAACTTCAGCCTTGTCCTTTTATCTGCGAGCGTCTGATTTGTTTTGACATCGTAACAGTCTAATCTAATTCATTGCTCCATCTTAGAGAAACTTACCAATCTAATTTCTTTACAGTGGTGGTGATGGGAACCAGGGGTCACAATGTCTACAACTCAAGAATAGCCATTTCCTTTACTGTATAAAACCATTAGTGAACCTATGTGTCTTCTGAGCCTTTATATTCAATGTAGTTCATGGTAAAACATTGGTAAATACAATTTTTAAAACAAAACTACAATCCTGCCTTATAACCTAATATCAGAATAAGTGCATTGCATTTATACAGCCCATCTTCAAAATATTACAAAAACAGTGAAGTGAGCATTCACTCTTGGAAAGAGAGGGAGAAACATAGGAAAAACAAGACTTTCCTCTGTGTTTTTGGAGTGGACACTGCCTCCTGGTGCACAGGTTCACGTTATGTACAAGTACGTTGGGAGACACCTATGCGAACGTCCCACATGTTCACAGATGCAGAAATATATTTAGGCCTTTGCACGCGGCAATGTTAGCACACATCACCTAGACAGACTGTGCTTTTTAGATAGAGCACAATAACAACCTCAGGGTGGGACTGTGGATGTGTGTGTTTGCTTGCATGCAGGCACGGCCACACTGAATGGGTGTTCTGAGGACAAAAGGTCATTTAGGGTCAACTACAGCTTCTGTTCTGAAAAAGAGTGGTCTGAATTGAATGTATAGGCCCTTCAAAGTTGCCTTCAATATTTAGTGAAATAACGATAGCCATTTAGGTTTACCCTCAACAACCACTTTACAAGAAACCCATAGACTGTAGCTCCTGGCTGGTGTGCAGCAAGACTAGTTCATCTGTTGATGCACAATCTGTGCTAGAAATCCTATAGTCCTTCATCAGTGGTCAGTTTCTGATCGCAAAGCTGTTATTGAGTAGATATTTTTGGGTAGTGGACCATGCTCAACCTGCACTACCATGTCAATAGCATGACAGTGTCAATGATGCATTGAGAATAGTCCCTCCACCCAAATTATGAGGCATGGGAATCTGGTCAGCAGCTGTCCTGTGGTTAGAAACTGGCCTAATAATAAACAAGGTGGAGGGTAGGTGACAAATTGTGCAATATATTAATGGATCCGGTTCAAAGTCTTAGTTCAAGGCGCACTTCAGACTTTTAACCAACTTTAACTTTCACTTCAGAGGGGCTGGCTACGGATAGAGGGGGACAGCATGCAAGCTAGGAAGAGAGCCATTGCTACAGTGAGGCTGATAACCACCAACTAACCCACTTTAGCTACTATAACCAAATCAAATATGTATATATACATATATATATATATGACATAAAATTGCTGACCTTGCAATGGCTATACTGTAATATCTGACATAATACTGCGATGGGTATTCACTAATAACCACAGTTTCATTGCCATCGGCAGACTTTCCTTTTCTTATCAGAAATAAGGGCTTCCAACTGAGATAGCCTAGGCCCCCCCCAGCCACCCCTATAGCTATGCCACTGCTATAAGGTACATACAGCTAATAAAGTGGGCAGTGAATGGAAATAGTGGTCTTTTCTAATAAACTGAACAAAACTTGTAGGGTCAAACTACACAATTTGGCCAATAGTATATGGACACCTGACCATCACACCTATAGGTGCTTGTTGGGCATCTCATTCCAAAATCGTGGATATTAATATGGAGTTTCTTCCTCGCTTTGCGGTTATAATTGGTTTTGTGGAAGGCTTTCCACAAGATTTTGGAGTGTGTCTCTGGGAATTTGTGCCCATTCAAAGAGCATGTGTGAAGTCAAGTACTGCTATTGGACGAGAACGTCTGGCTTGCATTATGTGTTCCAGTTCAATCTAAAGGTGTTCAGTGGTGTTGAGGTCAGGCCACTGGAGTTCCTCCACACCAAACTTGTCAAAACAATGTCTTTAAGGCCACAGTCATGCTAGAACAGGAAAAGGCCTGCTCTTAACTGTTTCCACAAAGCATAGAATTGTCTAAAATATCTCTGTATGCTGTAGCATTAAAATGACCATTCTCTGTTACTAAGGGGCCCAAACCATGGAAAGCAGTCCCAGCCCATTATCCCTCCTCCACCAAACTGCTGGTGGCACTGTGCATTCTGGTAGATGGTGCTCTCCTGGCGTCCACCAAACCCATATTTGTCCATCAGACTGCCAGAGAGTGAAGCACGATTCATCACTCCAGAGAACAAGTTAACACTCTGTAGTGAGTGAAGCAACAGAGGATTTCTATGGCTACATGCTTCAGCTTTGTGCCTGAACTGTTGTTGCTCCGAGATGCTTCTATTTCACAAGAATATCACTTACTGTTGACAGGGGCAGATCTAGCATGGCAGAAATTCAAAAAGCTGACTTGTGGCAAAGATAGCATCCTAAAGTCACAGAGCTCTTCAGTACGACCCGTTCTACTGTCAGTGTTTGTCTATGAAGACTCCATGGCTATTTGCCTGATTTTATACACCTGTTACCAAAGGGTGTGGCTGAACCACCTGAACTCTATAATTAAGAGGGGTGTCCACATACTTTTGGCCATAAAGTGTAAGTGTGAGTAAAGGACGAATGCTGTTATAACACCACTGACCGTGGACAGAACTTTGAAACTGCTCATATGAAAAAACACAGCTGACTTTTAAAACCAGAGAGAGAAGCAGGGAAAGAACGGTAAAGCGAGCCCGAGGCTCTCTCTAGTATGAATAACAGATTGCTGAGTCACTGGTTTCTGTTCCTTTCACATGAAAAAAACTCTGCTTGTCTCCTGAGGACTCCTGTCAGTCCTCATGACATCACAGCTCCAAGCACAAGCTCCAGTCACGCAGCCTCCAGCAAGGAAGAACGTGAAGTGGGGAAGTGGGGGGGTGGCGGTCAATGCAGGCCGTAACGGCCTTCTCACGACGCTCTCCGCCGCAGGTGGTTGCCTAGCGATGCAAAAACATCTTGAGGATGTAGATAGGGGCCTGAAAAGGAGCTGAGAAAAAAATAGATTGTTTACCTCATTAAATAGCAAATCTTCAGCCTCGTCCGCTGACCGTCGTCCCCCGTACAGTCACGATATGTGAGCGCTTGTCAAGGAGAGTAGGTCAGTGAAAAGGTTCGGTCACACACATACATTCAGGCAAAGACATCGTTCTGTGAAAATGTTGGAACTAATTCGTATAATAATAATAGCACTTTATTAAGTTTCTTTCACGTCACCCAAGAACAACAAGATGCAACGACACATCAAAACAAACTGAACATACAGTGATCAAGCATAACATTATGACCACCTTGTTTCTACCCTCATTGTCCATTTTATCAGCTCCACTTACTATATAGGTGCACTTTGTAGTTCTACAGTTACAGACTGTAGTCCATCTGTTTATCTGCATACTTTGTTAGCCCTCTTTTACCCTGTTCTTCAGTGGTCAGGACCCACATGGACCCTCACAGAGCAGGTACTATTCGGGTGGTGGATCATTCTCAGCACAGCAGTAACACTGACGTGGTGGTGGTGTGTTAGTGTGTGCTGCGCTGGTCTGAGTGGATCAGACACAGCAGTGCTGCTGGAGTTTTTAAACACCTCAGTGTCACTGCTGGACTGAGAATAGTCCACCAACCAAAAATATCCAGCCAACAGCGTCCTGTGGGCAACGTCCTGTGACCACTGATGAAGGACTAGAGGATGACCAACACAAACTGTGCAGCAGCAGATGAGCTATCGTCTCTGACTTTACATCTACAAGGTGGACTGACAAGGCAGGAGTGTCTAATAGAGTGGACAGTGAGTGGACACAGTGTTTAAAAACTCCAGCAGCACTGCTGTGTCTGATCCACTCGTACCAAAAAACTGGACTACTTACAACATGTTTTAAGTTTTGGAATTGAGAACTGAGATGGTATGGAATCGACTCTCCGGTCACTTGGAATCAGGAAAGGTGTCAACTTTCTGGAATCGAACAGTCTAATTAGCTAGCTAATTAGTGTCTATGTCAACTCCTGCATTTGTAAGTTTTAAAACAGCTGGCTTCAGCTAACTTCTGCCAAAGTTGCTAAGTAGGCCATATTGGCACTTTTACATTTTCCTAATTCCTAATGGGAAATAGCCAGATGTCCCTCATATTTTGATGGTTTCCTTCATACTGGGGACATTTGGTTTCCACAAGGAGCTAATTACTAGTCCACCCACACAAACACTTTATGTATTACTGGCGAGAGACGAGCGGTCAGTTTCTAATCAGCCGGTGTTGAGGTCAGAAACTGAGAATGACAGTGACTTACATATCAGCTGTTTAGAGTATTCTCATGTACTAGATGCACATTCACCAATCTACACGCATTCATTACAGATACAAGAGCATTCAGGGAAAACTCTTGAGGTATCAGAGCATGGAACTCAAAGTTCAACAGAGGTTCGATTCTGATTGTCTACCGACCTGAGGGGTATTCCAGACAGTGAAACTGGATCATTTAAACCTACAAATGAGGAGTCTCTACATAATATCCTTACTCGTCCTGTTTCAGGCTTGACCTTTGGCTTAAATATCTGTAGTTAATTATTATTAACTGAGACAATCCCCTGAGAAATTCTATGCCCTGTCTAGAAGTCTAGAAATGACAGCTGCCTCCTAACTGATGTTAGGATTTGACTGTACAGTCTGATGTGTGAGTGATGTGGTGTAAGGTAGGGGGTGTTTTTGTACACTAGGGGGAAGATGCAGATCTGTCCCATTTTGCTTTTCACGTGTGACAGACGCACCTCCTGGAATCAGCAGTTTCCATGTTTATGCAGTCAATTACACTTACAGGTTGGTTTTCACACAGTGTCAGGACGTGACATTATACCTATGCCCCACTTATTTTATACATATATAAGTATCTATATGCAAAAATAATGTATCCCATAAGGATTTATACATACAGCACTGTGCAAAAGTCAGAGACCGCCATCATCTGTTTCATTTCTATGAAATAAACAGCCATTAAGTACAAGTTATTCACTTTTCAGTGTCATGGAAAAAGCAGAAAACATAAATTACACAGAAGCCTCAACAATAAAATATAATATCAAATTTCTCAGTATTTAGAGTTTCCACTCTTTGCCTTTATTACAGCTTCCATCCTTTTCAGAGTCTTGTTTTCAGTTTTTTAAGAAATCTACAGGGATTTGTTTTAGGGCAAGAATATTCGACTATTTGGATATTCGTCCATTGGGCAGGTATTCGATTTTTAATTTTGGGGTGTTAAATGTGGGCTGTCAATAAAGGCGAACTGCAAACTACTGTAACGTTCGGGGTACTCGGAAAACTCAAGGTTATGATTCATAATGCAGCTTTATTGTTAATTTGCTGAAAACAGAGCCAAACACGGCAGGAAGAAGCACAGCCTCTCCAGCGCTAGCAGCTAAAAACACGGCCCTCTGCTCTACTCCGGAACAACCCACCTCTCCACCTGTATTCAGGCTCTTCAACATAAAAGTCCTTGTATGAATAAACCTAAAACAGTCCAACATAAACATTTCTTCTCCTTAAAAAAACTGGACTACTTACAACATAGTGTGGTAATGACACAATACATTTTGTCAGCTCATTCATTATGTACTATATTTATATTTTTTAATTGCACTGTTAAAATGTGGGAACATATACCATCCCAGCCCGGGCGCCTATGAACATCACGCCAACTGACAGGAGCGGTACTGGACCCGTACAAGGGCAGCAATGTATGCCCTTCATACCTTGAGTTAAACCCCTTTCGTGAAGTGCTGGTTAACCTGTGCTATTACCCCTAAGCCCACAGCTAAGAGAGGCTAGTGCGCCTGGTAGACTGAGCGAAGCCAAGCTGTGAGCACCACAGCAGAAGAAGTCACGGAGGTGCTTTCAACAGGCATCGGATACAGATTTTATAAGCGACTTTCTATCATGGTTGTCTCTTGTAATTTCTTTTTGACTTGTTTGACATGTAAGTGAATTATCTTATATTTGATCTCCTCAGAAAATTAATAATTTGTGCCTAATGGCTGATTTCACTGGAAATTAACCCCTTAAATGGCCAGTGCCCACCGGCAGGCCCAAAGTTTTATTACACACTTCTATAACCTAAGAAGAGCTCAACCAATTTGCATTTAAGTCCCTGTAGTTACTGAATAATAAGTCTTAGGCTCAATCCCATTTCACCCCTCGCCCCTACCACTTAGCCCTTACCCCTCTGCTTTGTGTGTTTACGCCCAAGGGTAGGGTGTCCAGATTTTAATTGAAATAGAGGGGTAGGGTGAAGTGTTAGTACTATATGGCCCTCCGTAGTGTTATGAGAAAAAAGGAAAAACCAGCAAGATGGCTGAACAAGAGACCAAAGAAACCCATAAATTTGAATATTTTCTCTGTTAAAAATTATGATAATCACTGTATTAATTTAGTTTAATATTGTTTCAATGTATTATGGTCCTTTTCTTCATAACAAGCATTAAAAAATCGCTAGTAGTATGCTGGTGTCCCGGTAGCTAGCTAAATTTTCCATTCCACCTTAAATGGTGCAGCAGTTACATTCTGATGCCTCAGGCTTCAGAACTGCTGCACCATTTAAGGTGGAATGGGAAAATTCGAACAAGAAGCTGGTGAATATCTGACTTCAGCTTCATATCACTGAAGAATTAGCAGTGGGCGATAATAAATAATTGCCCCCCCTCTTTGAAAGCATATGATGTCTTAAATGTAACTAAAGCCCAGCAGTGAGGAGCTGAACTTTACCCTCCTCTGCTGTCAATGAAGACGGGCCGGATCGCCTATGGAGCAGCGCTAGTAGCTGTTAATGAAGTAACATTCCAACCACTATCCCTTGTAACTCAGTTCCAAGGGGCAAGGTGACACTCAAAAGCAAGGGGTAGGGGTAAAAAGAAAAAATGGGATCAGGCCTTAGTCTGTAATAAGACTTTAAGGCGCTAAATAAATGAAGGGTGGTCTCTGACTTTTGCACTGTATTAGTTCTGTATATATAAGTACCTATACGTAATAATGAGCTGCTAAAAGTAAGGATGATTTTGCTGGTTTTGACAGCTTGTTCTTTGTCTTGTTTTTCTCAGGGCACAAACAAACACACAAGCACACACTCACAGAGCATGTAAAGGATATATCATGAGGAGTTTTCCTGCCAGCTCTGTCGAGGAGACGTACCAGCGGTGCATGAGCAGGAGAGTCCGGGGCAGCTGGTTCCCAAGCAGCTCTCCTTCATCATCTACACAACACAACACAAACTCATCAAACACTCACCAAATATAGCCTCGGGCATCTTTTACACAGGTATAGAAAACACAGTAGCACACAGAAAGCTCTGGTTCTACGTGCTGAACTTTATAAAGCGGTTACTGTTGCAAACAGGGATGCGCACATGGCGTACCAGGCTCATTAGGCTTGTGGAGTTCAAGGAGATTCACTTGGTCTTAAAGCACGCTTGAAATGTAGTCTTTAGTCTCAAGGGAGTCTTTAACGATAGCAAGAAATCATGTTTGCTCAATGTTTGGGGACAAAAAAGGACAAAATTCAGGTTTCATGGCAGTTTCATCGCTGCTACTCTTTTAAGCTTTGCAACATACATTGGGACATTTTTATAGATAACTTATATTTAACTTTAACTTTTATTTAACTTAAATAAAAGACGCAAACTCCAGACACCAAATGCCTAGGCTGACTACATTCAACTCGTTTAGAGAAAGGGGAACATTTGCTTAGAATCAGTAACAACACCTGATGATCTTGACAGTTATTCTCTTTCTCTTATATATGCATCATACGTTTCACGATGAGTGAATTCAGATCAGTTCAACTGTTTAGTATTAGGGCTGTCAAACGATTACAATAATCACAATTAATCACATTATTCCATGTAGCTAATCGTGGCATTTTTTCTCTTTCTCCTGTATATTGCATCACAGGTTTCATGATGAATGAATTCAGTCGACTTCTACTGTTTAACATTAAATGAAAAATATTCATCATTAATTATTGAAAACAATCACGATTAATCTCGTTATTTCATGTAGGTAATCACGATTAATCCCACTATTCTGTGTAGCTAATTGCCATTAATCGTATGATTTTCATGTATCGGATCGTTCACTTGTCTTGTTTTCCCAAATTTGATCATCAAGTTACAAACAGTGTAAGTGTTCCCTCAAGGGTACAACAGAGGTTTTAAGGTCTGATTGTGAACCTTAAATAAGTTTTTCCAGGTGAAAAGTTCGTATTTGTACCTTTTTATAACCGAACAATGAATAAAAGTCCTGGAGACGAGACGGGGTGTGTGGAGTCAGTACAGCTTAGAACATATCATTTCAGTGGATTATGGTTCAGTTATGTTCCCTGACTAAAGGTACTGAGATGTACCCTTGAGGGTTCCACCCCAGTGACAGTTTTGTACCTTTTTTATTGAGAGTACCGAGTTGAATACAAAAGTTTGAAATCCTCAGTCAAATTACATCTTTTGTAGATTTATTAGGTGATAATAAGTTAACACATCCTCTGTAGGAAATATTTATATATTCATAATTAAATATTGCATTTGACCGCAAATCTATAATGTGCCATAACTTTTGCACAGGCCACTTTCTATGTTTTTTTTCCCATTATGTTAAATTCAGCAAATAAACAGTAATTGTGCATTAAAATGTGTGTTCTTTATAGAGGATGCATGTATGTCGTGAAGTAAAAATAGAGAACTCACCGAAAGCATGGATACATGCATCCAAGAGCAGCTTCAGTGGCGCCGCTTTCCCCAGCGTAAACGACCCCATGACCTCAAGGCCAGCCAGGATCCTACTGGGGCGTCCAACTCAATGCCATCAGATGGCCTCTTCTCCTCTCCTCCCTTCCTCTTCTCTTTCCTCTCCTCCTCTGCTGATGTAAGAGGTTGTCAGAGACTTTCGGGGTGTCCAGCTGACCTGATGCAGCACTGTGGAAGAAATATTAAAGCAATAGTTAACAGTCAGATTTACAGGGCTAACAGTAGCTAACACTAACTCAAGGCTCCACTGCAAAGATAAGCTACTTTAGTTGCTTGAAACCTACATGAAACCTAATTGCACTCAAGTTGCATCATAAACAGTGTCCTGCAACTCACTTGAAACTCAGACGCAACAGTTGCAAGCACAGTTGCACGCATCTCAGCAGTCGGTCATGTGATCACCTTAAACAACACACTTTCAGACCATTTTCACCAGATAGTGGACAAGACAATAAAACAGAGGATGGTTTCTGGGCAGTTGCAAAGGGGATCCTCCTGACTGACTTTGTGAACAGTTGGTAGTTTCGCATTTCGTCAATTTTCATGACAAGAAATGTAAGTTTCTCAGAGCTTATGTTTCTATAACCAGCTGGCGCTAACAGCTGTTTCTTTGTTAGTCTGAAGTTATGGTGATTTATGTAGCTAGATTCAACTTGATGCTCTCTAATTTTAAACAGAGTTTGGATTCATTTGGGATCCAAAGGATGAAAATTATTACAGAAAAGGAGACCAAGATGCGATCTTCGATTAATATTTGTACTTCTAAAAGTAAAAATTGATTAAGTTGAGAAAAATGCTATAAATACATAAACAGCACCAACATGAGTTCATAGCAAGAAAGATACAGTGTTTAAAATATATAAGCTGCAAATTTGGCTAACTAGTAACTGACTGAGTTGCAAGCAACTTTGTTTTGGAATTGCTTCATGTAACTACCAAGTTGGGCAGACATTATGTTGGGGGCAACTCACAACATACAACTAGAGTTTCATGGTGTAAAACCAACCTAAAGAAGCAAAATCTGACCATCAAACATGTCTTGGCTAGGTTTTCTTTAAAACTACTAAGCTTTAAAATGATCTATTTTTAACTACAGTACTTCATTTAAGATGAGCGTCTAAAAGTAGGCTATAATGTTCAAATTGCTCAAACACTCTACAACCCCAAAGGAAGAGCTACATAGCTGACAACATCACATCACGCAAAATGAGTGAGTGCTATTTCAGGCAGGATCTGTAACAGGACTTAATCAGATTCATTCTTCCCTCTAATAACCAATCCAGCATTTTCTGCTGCTTTCAGCCCAACAGCATGTACAAATTGCTTATCCTCTCTTGCATCACTCACTACAGAGTTGCAAACACAACATCAGCGCAACAATTGTGCATCAGGAGCTGGATGAAATGTGTCTCCATGGCAGGCAGCTACACTTAAGCCTAAGATCACTATGTGCAATGCCAAGCGTCAGCTGGAGTGGTGTAAAGCATGCCGGGACTGGACTCTGGAGCAGTCAAAACGTGTTCTCCAGAGTGATGAGTCATGATTCACTATCTGATAGGTGAGGCTGGGTTTTGGCGGATGACCCAGTACCAACAGTAAAGTTTGGTGGAGGAGGGATAATGATCTGGGGTTTTGAGCCCCTTAGATCCAGTAATGTTAATGCTACAGCATACAAAGACATTTTAGGCAATTACATGCTCCCGACCTTGTGGATAAAGTTTGGAAAGACCCTTTGCTGTTCAAGCATGCCTGTCCACATACTTTTGGCCATATAGTATATCACATAATATGGTTTTGGAGAGTGTTATACCAGTGACAGACAGACGTTATGGCAGTCTGAAGCGCAAAATAACAGATCAATTTGTAGAAAATGGGGAGAATGTGTCAAATTCCTGTTGAAAGCTTGCAAATGGGACTTCTTCACTAACATTTCTTTCATGCTATTTGGTGTCCAACTCTGCAAATATGAAATCTCTGTGACTCAAACCCAAGGAATGTGATGAATCCATGTAATGGTTCTTTTTTCCAGCTTTCTTCCCTTCCCTCCCATTCACCTCCTCCATCGACAGCAGTCAAATCATTTGCTTGTTTAATTTTTGTTCCCAGAACTCCCCCATGGCTACCATCAATATTTGATCGCTGTCTCTGGTGTGCCGCCTGCGTGATGCGGCCGAAGCAGCTCACGATTCCACGCAGATGGCGTGCTATCATTCTGGCCCATTGAACTGAACGAGGAGCCGATCAGCGATTACGTAATGCTTCACATGGACACGCAAATTGCTCACTTTCTCATGAGCAATTTGTCATGGGCAGAGTCTAAATGAATGCTTTCAAAAGACTAGCTCCCAAAAGATAAACACTGTAAGTCACAAAAACGCCTTGTGACCTAAACAGCTGATGGTTTGGGGAACAGTATGGAAAATATATCATACGCCTGCCGTCACAGTGATTTCATCAGTATAGCTTTTGTTGACTGCTTACTTATTACTCAGTACTTTGGAGCACTTTACATACTGTGTACACAGTGTATCACTGCTTTCAGAACCATACATGCACAAAATGCACAAACCATGTTTCTTAGGCCCGAAACATACTTCACACAAGGACAGCACTCGGTCAACACACTGCAAACGTTCGGTCCTTCTGTTCAAACTCAACCGCACGTTCTTACGTTGCTGTGGAGGTTAAAACACTCAGTACTGAAGGGGACGATAGAGGACAAATCAGAGAGGGATCTATTGTTATTCCAACAGCCTCAACAGCTAAACGTGGGCAGTAGAGGAGAGTGAGCTGCTTTACCTCTTCACTTGGATTGGAAATTAGATAATTAATTATATTTTTATGCCGTGAGACTCAACTGCTCGTCTGCTATGGCAGTTGAGAAGCACGCTGGTGGTACGAGAATGCTTGGTCAGGCTTGGCTGTCATTATAGCGCCCCCTGCTGTAACGCTCAGAATGCAGCTCGCGCTTGCATCACATTATGAAATGCGTCGTGACACATTTTTGAGTGCAACTACGCGTGAAACCCCGTCTGCATAGCTCAAAGCGTCTGCGTTTGCGTCCTTGCGTGAAGTATGTTTCAGGCCTTAATGTCATCGTTACAGTTTTAGCATTCGAGCTAAATTAGAAATTGCATATGAGGGCTTCAAGTGGCAAAACCATCTATGCATTGGCTCTAACACTGGGAGATTGCCCTCGCTCTCCCCCCATCGCTCAGCACGATGCTAGCCAGCATGGGTGCCTGTTAGTTGACATGGCAGTTAGTGTTCTCCTCTAAGCATGTTGAGCTCTTCAAAGATGTTACATTAGGAGCAGTTTGAAAAGTTGTGGTGGTAATTAATGAATCTCTGAGGGAGTATGTGCTAACATTCACCCTCCCAGCTTTTTAACATTGTGTTATCGGGGGAGACCTATTTAGCGTGTGAAATTGGCAGTGACCCAAAAAGAAACCACAGCGGGGGTTCATACTGCATTTTTCTGAGGATGGACAAAAGCAAGGCGTATGTATATTTTTCTTGGGGGTTTCCACTGCTGCACCTTTTAAATGCCACGTTGGGCTGTGCAACAGCTAGTTCTAGCTAACTGGCTGGCTAAAATTAGCCAAACATCTTGCTTGTTAATTATAGATAACATAACGAAACCAGAGTCAGTATAAGGAGACCTGCCACTTCGTATTTCTCCCATTATATCAAAAACATGACTGCAAAATGCTGGAGGGCGTCTGCCTTCAATGAACGAGGGTGAATAGAGCTAAACGGCTAAAAACAAAAAAATTTAACTTCTAATCATTTGTGCAGGAACTTCCTTCAATTTTGGAAAGTATAAGCCCTGATAGCGAGCATATATCAGTCCTACTGGCTTGATAAGGTCGGCACCCCACTGATTGTTTGCCACTGCTGGTCCACCCTCGGTCACACATACAAGTTTTAACTAGTTTTTAAACTCCCCAAACAGATTTTAAATGCACAGAGACTTTTATTTTGGAAAATAAACTTAGACAAATATAACAAACAAATGAGAAAAAAAAATCATGACTAGGCCTGATATAAAATGATTTTATAGAGAATGTTGTTGCAGACACTGAGCTAGATTAAAATTATTTACTAAACTAATTTACAAAGAAAGGAAGGAAGGAAAAATCAGTAAATTAGACTGTGGGAAATGAGCGATGGTAAGTGGAATTTTGTCTAATACTCTGCTTACACACCAGTGGACCGCCCAGAAAACGCTGAGCAAAACGCCAGTGGACCACCAGATTTGCCATCAGTGGGCCGACAGTGGTCCGCTATCCTCTCGCTATCAGGGAAGATGTATTTTATATTTAAAAAATCTAAGAAAACATACCAGCATCTTTTCGTTTTTCTACAGCAAAGAGGTTTTGTGCAGTAGGATGCTAGCATTATTGCTACTGAGTGCTTACTAGTTGGCTGAGTTGCTCACTGATACTATGAACATACATGAAGTCAGATTTTATACCTGAACTTTAAAAGTGCTCAAACATATTACAGCAGTGCTGAGTACTGTATACTGTACTGTGTTCAGAAAATGAGTGCATTTTCTGTATTAAATGAATAAGACTTTACAAACTATGATCCATAGAAGCTCATTTATTTTAGACTCAAGGAGATCCTTCTAGCATTCAGCCATTATGCAGTGGCAGTCCTCCTCACTACATATCCTCTGACGAAACAATGAAAAACAAAAAATCTCTTATTTTGAAATAAAAGTCACACTGATGACATCACTTGACTTCCTTTTACCTGTTTTCTGAGGATCTATGAAGAAAGGCTCATGGTGAGTCCACTGTGTCTTTCAGTTATCAGAGATTTTCTCATTTAGCTCATGATTTCATACGAAGCTTTTAGCTGAAGTCACTGGTGTGACCGAATTTATTCTGAGGTAGTTGTGAAAAAACAGAATACAAATGGATTAAATTCCATATTTTAGTGGATATTCCATGATTGACAACATGTGGTTTGATGCTCTGTAGCAGCCATTTTGTAAAATGCATTGTTCATTAAAAATGTCTCTGGTGTTTCCTTTATTATGTGTAACACCAATGAGGATCGGTAACAACGGTGACACCTGTGGAGAGATAGAAAAGTGGACGTTTTTTGTAGAATGACCCAGCATATGTGGTGCTGTTAGCAAAAGGAAGGTAAATTGA